GTGGGCGGAGCCGCACCGTGGGGCGGGCTCCTCGCCGCTCTCCGGGACTACCGTATTTCTCCGAATCTTAGGTGCCAAGGTTGTTCCCGCGCGCTTGCGGTTTTGCACCCTGAACAAACGCGTCCGCATCTGGGGTGGCTGCGCGGCCGGAGGGCGATCGCGGCGTCCGCGCAGGGCCAGCCGGGCTCCCGGGAAAGTGCCGAGGGGCGGGGCCGGCCCCGCGAGAGTCCGGGAGGAGGAAGGGCCCGGGCCACCCGAGAGCACCGCCCCGTCCGCCGGAGGTGGGCGGTGGCTCGGCCGCCGCGAGGCGGGACGCAGCGAATTCCACCCGGGCACACCGCTCCCCTCTGGCCGGCTTCTGCAAAAACGTAGCTCTTAAAAAAGAACCCCCAAGTGCCCGCTCCTTTATTCTAAAACTCCTCTTCGTCATTTCCCAAGTCTTACAGCGGCGCAGTACGGTTGGCGTCTACACCGGCTCGCTCAAGCTCCCCGCGCCAGGCAACACTAGGAGCCTCGGGGAGGAAGGTTGGCAGAGCAGCTGAGAGGCACCGACTCGCCACAGGGTCCTGGGGTCAGGATCCCTAAGGAAGGGGGAAGGTCAAGGTCCCCACTGGACCAGGGAGGCCTTCCTTGGTGGTTGTCAGGATCCCCTTCCGCCTTCACAATCCCACTCAGCGGGGCGCAGGGGCCAAGGGGCCAACTGTGACGGTGAGACTCAGGTCGCAGCCCTGTCCTCTGGATCCCGGGATGGAGGTAGGGCCCTGGAGGAGGCCGGCAGAAGGAGGTCGGAGGGCAGCATCCGGCTCTTGGGCTGTGAGGCTGTGGGTCCTCAGGGCAGGGTCAGCCCGACCAGGAGGGCTGAGGGACGCCAGGGATGGGTCTCTGGCATGTGGAGCCAGCAGGTCCCGCTGCTGGCTGCAGATGAGGTCGTCCGGTGTGGGCATGGCCCGAGGGCAGCTGGGACTCAGGGTTCGTCTGGCAGGGAGCCCTGAGGCCAGAGTCCTCCTGGCCGCAGGCACTAGTGGGGCCAGGAGCACTTCTCTGGGACGGACTCCGGGGGCGTCAAGCACTTCCCTAACTTTTCACAGCCCGGAGGCGCCCAGTTCTGCCAGTGAGAATTGGGAGAGAACAGCAAGTTACTCTAAGCGCATCTGGGCTCCATAGTGGCCAGAGTCCCGCCCCGCCCCATTTCCTCCTTTGGCCTCAGGGTGTGAGCGGCTGCGGCCCAGAGCCACACTTCAGCAAGGGCTGACCCGGGAGGACCCTCACAGCCTGCTCAAGACCATCCACAAAGAGCTCTCTGATGGTCAGCTGCGGGGAGAGCTGGCCTGTTCCAGTGGAGCACGGACGGCCCCTCGGCCCAGCATCCACACGCCCCCGTATGGCTGTATTCTCCTGGTCCAGAGAAGGGCCCTCCCTGTTTCGCCATGGCCTCCCACTGCCCACGGGGGTCTCTGGCCTCGGAAGGGAGACTCCAAGTCACTCTGGAGGCGTTCCCCCCAGAGCGGGCTCACAGGCTGTTCCTGAATCAGATTATCGAGGGCAGTGAGAACCGCGCTGAAGGTCTCTCCTGCCCTGGATGGCATCACCTGGCTTGTGGCTGCCCAGGAGGGGAGAGGGGGCCAGCCAGGCTTTGGAGAAGGAAGCTGCTCTCGACCTCGGACACAGAGCAAAGCACAGGGTGTGTGCAGAACAGACTCCGCCCAGCCAGCCAGACTGAGGGTTGGGGGAGCCAGCACAGGACTGGAGGCCGGTCCACACTGCTCTGGGCTGCCTTCAGATCACTTGCGGGGTTGGGGGGCGGGTCCAGGGGTCAGGTGGCTGTGGTCATGCCCCGGCCAGTTCCCTCCACGCTGTCCCCCGCTACATCACGCAGTGGGAAGGGACACGGGCACCACATGCACTGCTTGACAGAGGGCATGCTGGGGGTGGGGACAGCTCGCCTTCCCAGTGAGATTAAAGATGGAGCTTGGAGTGGGCATGTGGGGCTCTCAGACTCCTGGGACCCCAGGCACCTTGGTGGTCCTGAGACGGGTAACTTCCTACTCTACTCTGTGCATTCAGAAGGCAGACCACCCCACGGAGGAAGGGAGGCAGCCCTGGGGGCTTCTGCTCTGAACGTCGTCCTGTGGGGAGCTTCAGGACACGAAGCTGCAGGCGTGGACAGCAGCGACAGGCCACCCCACCCTGGCCCTAGCTACCGAGGCAGCCCTGCCTGCCCTAGGATCACGCTCAGCGCCCGGAACACGCGGCTGATCTGCTCCTGGTGCGCTTCCCCCCACGCTGCCCTGGCCCCTCGGAGCAGACCAGACTCCACACGGCAGCGTCAATGGTGTCCGGCTGCTCTCTGAACCACTGTTCGGGGCTGCAGGACGCGCGGCTCAGGGAGAGGGGCTGTCAGGCTGGGAAGCTGGGCTACGCCGTCCTGACGGTGCTTGGTGGGCTTTGAAGCCAAAGCTTCGGATACTGGGACACCTGAATCACCCATGTCCGGAGCAGGGAGCCAGACACCCTCAGTTCCAGGGACAGGACCTTCAGGCCATCAGTCCACTGTGTCCACACCCCACGCGGGAGTGACTTGGGCCAAGCGACTCCCGGCCACCCCTGCAGGGTCTGCGCAGAGCAGCAGGAGGGGAAGGGGTCCAGCCCGCAGCCCTGGCAGCCTCTGGAGGCCCGCGGTCTACCGGCGTCCTGCCACACTGCCCAGCAGTCGCCTCCGCTGCCAGAAGTCTCGGCAATCCAGACAGCTCCCAGTCGAGAAGGGGGTGAGGGTGTGGGCTGCACAGACGTTCCATGGCTCCCGGGACACCCTCCCAGCACTGGCGGCCTGCGGTACATCAAGCACTCACCATGACGGCCCGGTTGCACACGTTGAGCTGGGGCTGTCCAGGAACCAAGGTCTCCTGGTGCTGTCGGACGGCCAGGGTGACCCCGCGAAGGGCATGCAGGTACTCAGGGCTGGCAAAGCTAGAGGCAAGAGGACCAGGTCACTGAGGGAGTGAGGCCCAGGCCAGCCAGCGGGACAGGCCACCCAAGCAGTGGGGGAAGGGGCCTGGGGAGCGAGGGGTCCACTGCCCCAGCGGAGCCACCAGCTGGTGGCCCTTACCTCTGTCCTTCTGTGCCCAAGGGCTGGCATGCACCTCAGGAACTGTTCTACAGACGAGGCCGCAGGCACAGCTGCCATGACCCCTGACTCAGCGTTCGGGGCCTGAGCCCCGGCTAGCACCACCGAGGGCACCAACAGGACCACGGACGGCCCCGAGCAGACCTGGGGCCTTCCCGCTTTCCCAGTCCCTCCGGCCCAGATCTGTGTGGCAGGAGCAGGGGTCCCGCCCTGCTCCCCACAGTCTCTGGGTCTGCAGCTGTGGCACTCCCAGGTTGCCCCGAACCTCAAGCCCTCCACTCCATCCTGCAGGCCGTGCTCACCGCACACACGGCCTGCAAGCTTTTCAGAGCAGGCCTCAAGACCCTGTCAAGTCTCCCAAGTGCACTGGGAAGGACTGGCTTAAGCTAAGGTCGTTCGTCTCAGCAGCAAGGTCCGCCTGGCTCTCGTCCTCTGAAGCACGGGCACACGTGTACTGGGGACATATGTGACTTCTGGGTGACGCTGGGGGCAGTCAGACTGTGGGAGGCCTCATGGGCAGAGGTGCGGCCTTGTGGCTCCTCCAGAATCAGGCCCTGCCATCGGCTCCCATGGCCCCGCTGGGTGTTGGCTCTGAAGTTACTTCCGGGGACAGGAGAGGGGCTCAGACTGCTTCCTCCCAGCCTCCCCCTCGTTTAGCTTGATCCCCAGCCCCACGCGCACACGGCCTCCCAGCGGAAAGTGTCCTGGAGCCTCGGAGACATGCGGCCACAGACTGGGGTTTAGGCCCCCGGGGTCTCTTCCCTCCCAGGTCTGGAGACTGTAGGCCGAGATCCAGGCAGGAACACACCCCCTGGGGAGGTGCGTGTCCCTTCATCTCTGCCTCCGATTTCATGTGGCCTCTCCCCCCGTGTGTGTCCCCTCTTCTGTCTCCCAGGGCTACTCTCCGGAGGCAGGACCACCCTGATCCAGGATGACCGCCCCCTGACCTTGCCTTCACTGTCCCCACGAAGTCCCCGCTGCCAGTAAGGCCATGTGTGAGGTTCTGGTGTGGGCAGGCGTGGGGCCCGTCTGTCTCCTTCCCACAGTCCCCAGGATCTAAGCTGAGCAAAGGGCCTGGAAGTGTCTCAAGCGTCCCGGTTGGCACCACAAGGCCCCGCTCCAGAGCCTTGCCAGGAGGAGCCCCGGGGTGGATCTTTCACGCTGGTGCTGCCCGCCGGGCACGGAGGGGCTTGTCCTCCCCACATGCAGAGGCTGCTCAGAGCGGGGGTCACGTAACTGTGTCACATGGACCCGTGGTGGAGGGACAGAGACCAGGCGGATGGGAACACCTGAGGAGGCAGGCCATGCACGCCAGTTTGCTGAGGCAGACACAGAGGACAGGCCTGGACCACCTGTGGGGGCAGGAGAACAACCCCACCCGCCGTCGCCTGTCTCCCGAGATCTCAGGACGTGCCTCTACTTGGCAGTGCCCAACCCGCCAGCAAGCTGGCGCCTTTGCTCGGGGCCGGCTCACCTGAGGGGGAACCTCTCCCCGGGGTCTCGTCCCAGGTGGAAGATCAGGGGCAGCTCCGTGTGGTCCTCCTGCGTGTGGGTGGTGACTCTTGAGACGTTCTGCCCGGGGCAGAAATCGATGCCCTGAAACGGGAGGCCGGGAGGGCAAGTGAGGGCCGTGTGTGCCCCAGGAGCCCAGAAGGCAGGGGCCTCGAGCTCCCCGAGGCAAGCCAGCCCGTCTCACTCCCACCTGCTGCATCCCTAGACGTGCCACGAGAGTGTCCCAGGGCTGAGCACGACGGAGGGCCAGCCTCCTGTAGGATGGCGTCTCTCCCATGCCCTGGCCCTGGAGCCTCTGAGCCATCGTGCCTGTGTTTTGAACCGCCGGCAGCCCCTTCTCGGGGCAGGGAAGTGATTTTTTTTTTTTAAGATTTTACTTATTTATTTGAGAGAGAGAGAGAACACGAGTGACATGAAGGGCAGAGGGAGAAGCAGACTTCCGGCTGATGCAGGGCTCGATCCCAGGACTCTGGGATGCTGACCTGAGCCGAAAGCAGACGCTTATCAGCTGAGCCCCCCAGGTGCTCTGGGAGATAAATCTCTTTAAAATATTTTAGGAGCACCTGGGTGACTCGGTGACGCGTGTAACTCTTGATCTCAGAGTTGTCTGAACCCCACGTTAGGTATAGAGATTGGGTAAAAAATGAAATCTCAAAAAAAAAAGGAAAAAAAGCGCTACCACTTAAACAAATTGTTCCAGCCCGTCTGGGGGCCTGCCTGTCACTGAATTCTGGAGCAAAGCCACCCCAGCGCGTGTGCTCAGCGCTCCCTGCAGGCCACCCAGGAGCCAGGAAGAGACAGGCCCACGGTGGCAGCCCAGACGCCCGGGAACAGCAGGGCCTGAAACAGACTACGGCCGATGCGTCCGAGGACACAGGAGAGCAGACCGTGCGTATCGAGGCTCAGGTATATGGCCCCAGGCCCCCAGACAGGCCCAGTTCTGTAACTTCTCGGGCCACCTCTGCCCTCGGGGCTCCTTTGGGGGTACGCTGCGGGGCAGCTTCAGTCTCTGAGGTCAGAGTGCGGCAAGAGCCCCGTCCAGGTGCTGGGACGGCCCTGGGCCCCTTCCAGAAGCTACTGCCCTCACGGCCTGGAGCTGTGCCCCCAAGGCTCGCAGGCCGTGGGACCCCGACTTGGGAATAGGAAAAGCCAGCTGTACCCCGAGGAAATCCTGACACCCTGGTGAGCCCAGGGCCCCACAAGCAGCTTAGCTCTAGTCTTCGGCCAATACGGGACACGGCCTAAGGGAGGGTCTGGAGAGACAGCTGTACACAGAGACGGGTACTCCGGTGCTCAAGAACCCCAGACTGGCAGCCGGGGAAGGCTTTTTGCAGGGTCAGTGCAGTCGACGGGCGCCCCCCACACCCCGTGTCCAACCCCATGCGTCTGTCACGGACAGCTGGTCAGCGGAACAGGTAACAATCTGCTTTTCAATAAAGCAGGGAGGTTAGGAACCCGTGAAATTCCATTTATCCGCACTGAGCTGTGACTCGAGCCAGTGGCTGAAAAATAAGGAGACTCGAAGCCGGAGAAGACAGCCAGTGATGCATGCCCAAGTGGGTTCCAAAGTGGGTGACCCCTTGACCTTCTGGGAGTAGAAGTGCTGGAGAACACACTGGGATTTGACTACGGGAGAGCCCACAGCCTCCAGCATGAAAAAGCTGGCAGCTACCAGTCTAGATGAAAAACACAAATCCTCACCTGGATGCAAGCCAAGTACACTACTTACCAACACCCCGCCAACCAGCACTGGGTTTCCCTCACGACTGCTGTCCCCGGGACATCACAGCCGAGCCAGCCCACGTGGCCCCTTCTCCCTTGGAGCCCAGGGTGCACCCGTCCCTCCGCGGCCCTGGCCCTTGGAGCCGTGCACTTGTCTAAGTCTGGGAGCGGCCCCCAAGTGCAGAGGACCACATGCACATGTGTACCCCACTCCTGCTGTGCCACGGGCTGCCACAGGGAAGCTGGTCCGTCCCTCCTCCTCGGCCCACCCCGCTCAGCTAGCCCTTGGGGAACGGAAAAGCCTGACCTGGGACGTGGCCGGGCCCCAGGGACAAGAGTATAGCTGGGAAGCTAGCAGGGTCCACGCGGGTGACTCCCAAGCTAGGGACCACAGACCCGCACACCCCTGCGGGGACGCAGCCCCAGGCCTCTCCCTTAGGCTGGGAGCCGGCCCGGGCCTGGCTGAGCAGCCCCAGCCGGGCAGCCTTGTGACTTCTGAACAAAGCTGGCCTTAGCACGTTAGCCTCCTGTAAGGGCCATTAGAGCAGCCGACAGGGAGCCCACTCCCCTCCCGGGCAGCTGCCTCCCAGGGACGCCTGCCCTGGGGAGAAGAGAAGCAAAGCTCTGTCTCTTGGGAACTCAGAAGGGTGCCGAGCAAAGAGCCCCGAGGGAGCGGGAGCCACGTGTCAGGCGGAGGAGGGCGGGACCCACGCAGCAGAGCGGCCTCTCCTGATCCGGGTCCCACCGTAAACACGGTCTGCCCAGGTCACACAGGCAACGGCTCCACCCGCAGAACCTTCTGGACTTTCCCAACACTCCTTCTGAAAGAAGCTCCCCCAGCTCTTCTGGGGTCCGGCCAGGGTGGAAGCTGGGACGGGTCTCATTTGGGGCTGCCCGGACCCTGCCCTGAGAGCCCCTGGAGCCACGGGGAGGCCGGAGGTGTGGCTCCCGGAACCCTGCTCCCATGCCACCTGGAATCTCGGCAGCCCACAGCAGGGCCGAAGAAAGCCCCAGGAGGGAGCAGTGAGGCCACACAGCTACCCCCAAGCCCGCACAGCCAAGCTCTGGGTTTTTGGGGGCTCCTACGACCTCTTAGCCTCTGAGCACCTAAAGGGCAAACCACAGGCAGCCCTGCCTGATAGGACCTGGAGCCAGGTGCTGAGGATGGCTGACATCGTACCTGAAGGGCGGGCAGGCTCAGCTATGGGAGGGAGAGCAAGGGCAGGGACCCTGGACGCAAGCAGGACGGCTGAGTGGGCCTGAGGGAGTCCAGTGCTAAGCGTGTAGGCCAGGGGGCAGGACTCTGCCATGCCCTGTGCTGAGAGTGGTTTGGAAGAGGTTGGGGACCGCTGCTACAGCGAGTCTGGGGGTCCACGAGTCAGGTGGCAAGCACGAGAGGCCTGGGGCCACCTGTCTTCCACAGTGGCCTCTGGTCTTGGCCTGCTCTGTCCAGAGGTGTCCTCCTAAGAGCGGGGTGGTGGGTCTGCAGAGTTCACGGTACCCCAAGCCCCCTCACCTGTCTGAACTCCTCCCAAGAATTGGTCCAGGTCCAGAAGTGGGCCTTGTACTGGCCGATGGTGGCCGCCATCAGCGTGTTGCCGCGGTAATAGAATATTGGCCTGTCGCGGAGGGAGGGAAAGGGTCAGGAGGCAGGAGAAACTTGTCACAGAAACGACCATGCTGGGCTCCCACCGGGCACAGTGGGGAACAGGTCCACCAGGCCGCGGGGGGTGGTCGGGCCCCTGGGTCCTCGGCCCCGGCGTGAAGCTGGCGGCAGGCAGAGAAGCTCTGGCCCTCATCTTGGGGCAGAGAGCCTGCTCAGCCACCAGCACCACTGCACTCCCTCCCCCCCCGAGTCAACAAGTTCTTGTCCAGGGTTCAAGACAGAAAAGACAAGCACGGCTGAGAACGCCCAACACTGTCTCACCACCCCAGACCCAGGCCTCAGCAGCCCTGCAGCGGGGGTGGCCACCTTCCCAGCCACGAGACTTAGCGTTTCACAATTCACGTCCCTCGAGCAGCCCGGGGAACGGACTCTGTCTGAGCACAATAGCACCTCGTCTCAAGCTGGAAAGAAGCAGGGTCCGGCACCTGTGAAGCCGAAGCCAAGGCCGGGCCCCAGGGGTCCGGACAGCCGGACACTCAGGCAGAACTCCCTCCACCCCCAGCGCTGGGCCTGGGGCCCCGATGCCCCGGGTGCTGGGAGCAGGGTCTCGGAGCGCCAGTGCTCTCGCTTCCCAGGTCCTCCCTCTGCCCCGAGCCAGCCTGGGGAGGAAATGGCCTTGTCAGCCAGGCCTGGCTCTGTCCCCTGGTGTTGTGGGGCTGGCGCCCGGCGGGCACACACCTGTCTGTCAGCTGGCCCCATAGCATGGCAGGGAGCAGGTCCAGGCCGTCGATCACCCTGTCGCTAGGCGGGGCCAGCCCCGCGAGGGACAGGCTGGTGGTGAACAGGTCCATGATGCTGCCCAGCTGGTGGCTCACCTGGAAAGACGACGCGGGTGCACTCGGTGAGCCCGCCCTGACAGGACGGCAGCCAGGGGCACACAGGGACAAGGACAGGACGCGGGTGCCCTCGGCGACCCCGCCCTGACCAGAGGGCAACCAGGGGCACACAGGGACAGAGGCCTTCTCTGCCCGATGTCCACATGCAGGTGCACATGCCCCGGGTAAACCCCTTACTCTGGGCCCGGTCTTTGCAGCCTGACCCCGCTCCAGGCTGTCCCAGAGCCCCGAATGCTCTGGAGAGTCAGGTCAGGGCGCGTGGGCCGCCACACGAACCCTCAGGCCTCACGACCCTGCAAGGGAGGGACGAGCTCCTCCTTGGGAGAGTGGCTTTGGGAGGTTAGGGCTGAGTGGGGATTCAAACTGTCCCATCCCCAGTTCCTGAGTCTTCGTTTCTGTGGTGACTGCGAATGAGACAGAGGTAAGAAGACGGTGCAGGGAGACACCGGTGGGGTCCAGCCTGCTGATGCCGGGCCTCTCTGAGCCCATCTGTCACCACTGAACCACTGTGAGCTTCCCAAGTCAGGTAAGAGCACAGGTGGAGAGGAGACCCTCGAGGCCCAGAGCAGCACAGAGGAGGGGCAGCTGGCTGGGGACGACCCAGGCCCAAACGGGATGGTCTCAGTCGAGGCACCTAGCGAGACGTGTCTGAGGAGAGGAGCACTCTTGGCCGAGGGCCACATGCTGGTCTCCACGGACGCAGGTCTGCTCCCTGGACACGGCTCTGCCTCATCTGGAGACCCCGGGGTTCACCCCACCACCTGGCGTCAGCAGCCTGGAGCTGGGGTGAGGGCCGGCGTGGGGAGGCCGGAGAGTCCGCTGTTCAGCTTGGCGGGGCGGGCATCTGTGGGCATCTTGTTGGCTGGGACCCCCAGCCGCTCTTCCTGGTCCCCAGGGGCCCCTCACGGCGGCCCTGGGATCACGTGAGACGCCTCCGCCATGAGGAACTCTGTGTGGACACGGAGCACATGGGCCACAGCCGCCCGCACTGTGGGTTCAGCAGCCCAGTGTGGGGAAACGGGAAGCTGGTGTTTGATTTGAACCTTCTGCGTGGGTTTGCAGAGGGCAGGAGCAGGCGGCCAATGGCATTATCTCATTGCCATGGCTCCTCCCCTGCCGCTTTTTTTGCAACAAAAAAAGGAAGAAAGGAAGGGAAAAAAATCAAGAAATCCCAGTACTTTAACTGCCAAGAAAAATAAAGAGGGAGGAGACTGCCGTGTGGGTAGCATGGTGGGGTAGGCCAGGACAGCTGATGTCCTTCTTGTCAGCACAGAACAGCTGGGGGCACACAGAGAAACTTCCTGAAGGACAAACACTCTCGACATGCGTCATGTCTTTAAAAGAACGCCATCAGACTGCTGTGGGCACACAGAGTCCCTGCCGGTGCCACCGGCACTGCCAAGACCCCACGCAGGAGTGGTCCCTCCACCAGGCAGGAGGGGGCCTGAGTACCGGAAACGGTGGGCAAACCACAGTGGTTAAATAAAGCCCTCCCGTGGTCGCTGCAGGGCCCAGGCCTCACAACTCGTCAGGCTCAATTTCAGCATTTGCCATGGGACACGGTGCAGGGCAGGCTGCCCGGCTGTTCCTGGATTCTCGCCTCAGGGAGCAGGGCTGAGGGGTGAGGAGCCAGGCAGAGGAGGGCCGGCCCTGGGGAGAGAAGTCCCCATGGAGACAGTCCCAGAGGGTGCAGCTGTGGGGGAGCCTGGGCAGGAGGGTGGGCTCCGTGCCCCACGCCCGGCGTCTGATCCCAGCTCCACCACGGGACTGCCAGCAGTCCTGACAAGTGACTTCCTTTCCTTGGGCCACGGTTTGCTAACACGTGGTGTGGGAATGCTGACGATGGTGATGGGGACAGAGTAACGCCCCCCGCACTGAGGTCCACGTCCCGATTTCCAGACCCTGTGCACGTTCCTCACATAGCAAAGAGGGAATCAAGGCTACCAAGCAGCTGACCTGAAGATGGGAGCTGATTCTGGGTCCCTGGAAGTGGCCGGGGGGCCAGAGTCAGAGGGAGGAGGGTTGGCGCGGGGTCCTGGCCACGGGCAGCAGCCCTGGGGCCGGAGTCAGAGAGAGGAGGGTCGGTGCAGGGTCCTGGCCATGGGCAGTGGCCGGGGGGCCAGAGTCAGAGGGACAAGGTGACAGTCGACTGGACTGGATGATGGAGGGAGGGGCTGTGGGTGCCTCAAGGACCCTGGAAAGACGAGGAAACGGGCCCTCCCCTGGAGCCTCCAGAAGGAAGCAGCCCCGTGATGCTGTGAGCGTGGCCCAGGAGGCCCAGCTGGTCTCCCAACCTCCGGCCTGCGCGGAGGAGGGTGTCATGGAAGGCATGGCGCGCAGCACTTGTGACAGAGACCGCAGGGGAATCAATGCCCCTGCAGTGCTGCTGTGAGGGCCGCACCAATACCAGTGTTCCCTGGGGGGCGTCGGAAGGGGAGAGAGACCAGTTCGGAGACCGTGAAAGGAGTATTTCAAAACGGGAGCCCTAAGACCCTGTATTCCTCAGGAGTCTGAACTGAGCTGCCCGGTGAGAGAAGACCCTGCGTGTGGGTTCCTGGTGGAGGGAGGGACAGAGCAAGGAGCTCTGGGGCAAGAAAGGGCTCCAACGTCTGGGAGGCTGCTAGGGAACCAGTGGCCGGGGGGAGACTTTGTGGCCAAGCAAGCTTTTAGGAGCTCAGTATGCCCTGTGCCTGCCGGGTGTTCATGAGGTCCATTAGCACACTAAAGCTCTGACAAGTCCTGCAGAAAAGAAACCTGCTTAACTTAGCTGAACTCAGGACCGCCACGTTCACTGACAAGGCAGCCTCGTCACCGGATGGCAGTTGCTAACACCGCCCCTGAGGCCCCGGTGCCCGCCCCACCTGCCCTTCACCAGCCGCCTCCTGGTGTGGAGCTGGCAGTCTGAGCTCCATAAGCGGCCAGCGTCACTCACCTGGCCCTCAGGGACTCGCCCGGGCCACCACGCGATCGCAGGCTCCCGCATCCCACCTTCAAACGTGGTCTGCTTCCCACACAGGAACGGGCCGTTGCTACCGCCTGGGGAGACAGAGTCGTTGTGCATCAGACGCCTACCCCGAGTCCCCAGGGCGTCCACCCTGCTGGCCCGTTGCTTTCAGGAGGATCTGTCACAGCCTGCCCCCAACCTTCCTGGGTCCTCGGGGTGACACTGCTGAAAGGACCAGCCACAGAGTTTAGGCCTCAAGGTCAAGGTCAGATGCCTGGACATGGTCAGGCAGTGACACTATTTCCCTAAGGCAGCGCAAGTGCTCAGAAATGGAGACTGTGACGACTGCCCTTAGGCGGGGCCGTGACACAGGCTCCTGGGGAGCAGCTCAGTGGGGTTCACGGCTGCCTGCAGGGACCGTGTGACTTACATGTTCCCGTCCTCGAGCGTCCCCTCTGTGTGGGGGGTGGGGGGTCTAATCAAAATGTGTCCCCCCCTCGGTTCCAGCAGGGGGTTGGGGACGGGGCAGGTTCGGTTCCTGAACCACACGCATGGGAAGCGCCGGAGGGCAGACAGTCCTGGCCAGGCTGACTCCCCCCAGAGCCCAGGGCGAACGGCAGCGCTGCCACCACTGCCTGCTGCCCGGGGCTGCCACGAGCCCGGCCCCCAGGAGGAACAGGAGAGGCGGTGCTCTTGCTCCTACGCGGGACCCGCACCCCGGCCCCCCGTGTTAGCCGAGAGAAAGCAAGGAAGGGCGCGTCCGGGCAACAAGTGAGCGAGGGTGGGCAGACGGAAGCCCAGGCAAGGGCATCGCAGGAACAGCGAGGAGGATGTGGCTCCTCCCGGGGCTTTGCGGGGCTCAGACGCACTGACGAGGCCCGACTGCTTGTCTACTTCTGTGTCGCAAATGGTGAGGCGAGCACACAAACTCGCGTTCTTACAACCTAAGATGTGGATTGCGTGCGTGGGAACCGGCCCCTACTTCAGGCATGAAGATGGGGCACCGCTGGCGGCCCCGGCAAGGCCTACGCGTCAGGGGCTCTCCGCGCAGAGCTGGGAGGCACAGCAGGGACAGCGGTGTCCAGCCAGGCCCCGGGTCTTTGCTGGGAGGGATGCAGAGGGTCCCACCCTCACCTCTGGGACCAACAGCAGTACAGGGAGCGCCTGCGTGAGGACAAGGTCCCTCCATGGGCCGCGAATGGCCCCTCGGGGCCCCAGACCAGCCGGACCCAGACCCCAAAGTGCTGCTCTGTGCCAGCGCGATTCCTTCTCACCTGACCCCATCTGTACCCATGCCAGCCGTGGGGCTGCCCCGACTGCACGGTCCCCTAGCACCTCCCTGCTGAGGCCTGTCCCTCTGGGGTTTCCTGCTCCCCATGGCCTTTCTTCCAGAGCCCTCTGAGTGACTCAGGGCCCTGCTAAGGCCCCAATACCTTAAAGGAAAATGGGACAAAAAGATATGGTACCATGACAGGGGAAGGGGGACAGACAGGCTTACAGGACACCAGGTGGAACCCCTTGCTCCCTAAGGTGCAACAGTCCGTGAGCTTGCCGAGCAGCCCTGGGGGGGGGTCACGGCCCTGCGGCGGCTCCCTCGCCGAGCCAGGCCCGTGCTCTGGGGTAGGGGCTGGGTCCCTGCCCTCCAAGACACCACTTCCCAGGAGGTCTGGAGATGCCCCAGCAAGTCTCCTGGGCAACAGTCTTCCCACTGGACGAGGGCCCTCGGGAAGGGAGCGGGCATCTCCCCCATTGGACGGGGCCCCTAGGAGGGCTGAGTGGCCCTGACGGAGCCTCAGAGATCCCAGAGTCCCAAGGGCAGCCCCATCTGGGGAGGCGAGGGTGCCTGGAACGCTGGCCTTGTTTAGGAGCAGAAATGAGGGCAGCGCCATTGTCGGAGGTGAAGAAAACAAACGTGTCCTCTGCGATCCTCAGGTTCCGGAGAAGGCTCAGGATTTTCCCAACACTGTCGTCGATCTCCCGGACAGCGTCCCCGTACCTAAGGGGAGAAAGGGCGTCAGTGAGCAGAGAAGTCACGACTTCGGGGACGGACAGCACACCGGACGGGCTGGCTTCAGAGGAGAGGGAGAGGAGAAGTCCAGTTCCCAGAGTTAGCGCGGGCGGGAACACGCCACCCCGCTGCAGCCCTCCTGCGCACAGACTGGGCCGCCGGCAGCTTCGGGGAAGCACGGGAGCTGCCATCCCTTCCCGTGAGGGTAACTGAGACCGAGTGGCCGAGAGCCCCGTCCCTGCAGCCGATCAAGCTCAGCCGAACTCTCCAGGTGGGGGACCACATCTCTAGGACCAAGGACTCACCGCCCTCGCCGGCTGGTGCCCAGGAAGGGCCGAGACGCGTACACGGGCGCGTGGGTGGCGTCGACGGCCCAGTACAGGAAGAAGGGGCGCCGAGCCGCATGCTGCCTCCGCACGAAGTCCAGCGCTTCCTGGGGGAGACGCTGCCTTGCTCGTCTGCCCGGAGGCCAGCCTCCCCGCGCGCCCGCCCAGCCCGCGCCAGTCACCTGCGTGTACACCTGCGTCAGGTTGGCTTCCCCGGTCTTCAGATTGATGGGGAATTCCTCGTAGTATCTGAAAGTGACACAGACCCAGACAAAAATCCGCCTCCCGGAAGCCACGTGAGCCTCCTCTTCCCTGACGTCCCAGGCGGGTACGGCCCCGTTCACAGGAGGAGGGAAACGCCGCCCGTGCGCGTCAACGACCCAGAGGCGTGCGCCGCTCCAGAGGCCCTGGGCCGGTCGAGGACAAGGCCCCACGGCAGCCCCCACCTGGGAGCAGCCACGTGTGAGGACACAGGGAGGCTGGCAGAGGCGGCGCCACGGTCACCCCGGGCCAGCAGCAGCTCACGGGCACAGGCGCTCTGAGCCGGCCGTGTCTGCGGGACACCACGAGCGCTCCAGGACCCCCGAACCCCGCTTCCAACAGGGCGCGTTCTCCCTCAACGAGGCTGTCCTGGAAACGCACGGGCCCAACCCGGCTTTCTGGCCCCAATGCAAGAACTTCCACCGAAACGTGAAGCAACACAAAAGGTGAGCAGGGAGGAGAGTGAAGACAGACGAAGCTGGAGACAGAACCGTGCCGATGAGCGGGGACACACGGCGGGCGCCGTGAAGGCAGGCCCGCGGCCAGACCGGAGCCCGGGGAGCCACACGGCTTGGGCAGCAGAGCTCCAGGCGGGCTCCCGAGGAAGGGAGCAGCCCCGTGGGCTCCTGGCACACGGCCACAGGCCAGCCTGGTGCAGGTGGACGGCCTCGGAGCCGGAGCCCAGGGCCACCTAATGGCTTCAGGAACCAAACCTCAGGAGCAGAACACGGTGCTGCGCGACACACCTCAGGGGTCCTAACCTCTCCCACGCTAAAGTCCCCTGTGGGCAGCTCGAACAGCAGCCCTAGGCCGTGGTCCTCCTCGCCGCGGCTGACAAAGCCAAGCGCTAGGAGGCCGTGCCAGTACAGCTGACCCGCCCCCAGAGCGGCATCAGAAGGCGGGGCTGAGCTCCGCCATGTGCGGGGTGGGGCGGGAAGGGACCCGTTACCTGCCGACCATCTCCCAGTCCCTGTACACAGGGATGTTGGGCCTGGCCCTGTTGTCATATGGTCCAAAGTGACAGTTGGGGGACCCGAACCACTCGTCGAATCCATGCTTCAGGGGGTGGAACTGAGGCCTGTGGCCCAGATGCCTAGAAACGGGAACCCGGACGCTTTAGGGACCCTGCTCAGGGTACCCCAAAGTCCTGAGCACGGACAGCTCCTTGCCTTGTGTGTGCTGAGCCCCAGGCGCCCCTAGACGTCCTCCTCCAGGTGGGGGCCAGGACCCTGCCCACCCCCACCAACAGCCCACGGCCCTGGCCACAGCGGGTGTCCGGGCACAGAGGGGCACTCAGGCATCCCTCCGGAGTGCTGCGAGGGCTCAGGAAGGACACCCAGTGAGCTGTCTCACACCAGCCAGAAGCCACCCAGAACTCTCTGCACTCTGGTTTCTTTCTTCTTCCATTTCTGGGGACGGTTCTATAGGTTCTGCCTTCTCTGGGATTGTGAGGTAGTCGCCAGCCCCTCACAGTAAGGTCTTCAAGAGCCTCTTCCCCCAGTTACGAATAATCATGCCCCAAAAGACAGCTGTGCGGCCCTGGGGGAGCTGACCATCCCGGCCTGGCCTCATCACAGCCTGGGATGCTCCAGGACCTGCCAAGGCTGCGCACTAACCCAGCGCCCGGGGCCCAGCTCGTGGATGGGTGTGCCCGTGGGGTGACCAGGGCCAAGCCGCTCCCCAGCCCAGGCTCTCCGGCATCATGACCCCCCCTTTGTCAGTTCTGCCAACAAGAAGCAGCTGAGGGAGGACCCAGCAGTCCCTGAGCCAGAGCCGTCTGCTCCTCAGAACACACGGTGCAGGCACACCGGGGTTTCCACTCCGCCCATGGGCTCTTGGGGAGCACAGCAACTCTATGGGGCCAGTGGGCTCCCATGGGCCTCTCACGGCCACACAAGCTGGAAAGCAGGGTCTCCCTCCTCTGCTGCCCTGGGGAGGCCTTGGAGGAGGCAGCCAGGAGACCCCGCTGCCTGCTCAGAGGTGTCCTGGAGGCCCGTGTAGATGCCCAGGCACTGGTCACTTGTGTGTGGTCACACACAAGGTGGGTGTGGCACGGCATGGCGTGGCGGGGGAGGGTAGGCCACGTGGGTCCAGAACTGAGGTGCCCAGTGCCGGGGTCTAAGAAGGTGACAGTAAGTGTGTCTCTCGGGGCCTCGGCTCACACGGCTGGTTCTCAAACACTCTGCCTCCCGACTGCCGCGTGGCCACAGTGCGGCTCTGGCGTCTGCCGGCCCTCCGCTGGGGGCGGGGCCGTGGGCGCTACAGCGGCCGCTCGCTGCAGAAACCTAACCGTCCCTCGGTGCTCTGTGCTCCCTCTCCGCGTCTCAGGTCGGCCCGGGCCGCTGCTCTGGCACGGTCACGTCTCTGCACGCCCACCAGCACTGGCCCAGAGGGGGCATGCTGGCTGGGCCAACGCGGCTGCACACACACCCACCAGCTCAGGCGGCCTCCACCTGACACGCACAGCCCCTGGAAGGGCCGCTTTTGCTAGGCTGTCGGCTCCCAACAGCAGTGGGGCCAGTGCCACCTGCCGCTGAGCCCGAGCGGGCTGCAGTCCCTCGGGACCCCACAGTCCCCGGGACCAGGGCGGCTGGGATGGGCTCTCGTGTGAATCCAGCTTCCACCCACCCCCAGACTCGCTCAAGCCACGGAAGTCTGGCTCCGTGGCACTGGGCTGGGAGGAAGAAGGTCAGTGCAGGCCACAGCCCTGTGACACACCCTGCTGAGACTGGGACGCCCCCCCCGCCCCCCCCCCCAGCCCCGGAAGCCTGTTGGACCCAGGGCACAGCTGCTGGGCCGGGCATCACAGGGCCCATCCCTCCCATGGGCTCCCCACAGAGATGGCCCTGGCAGTCTCCCCGGGCTTTCCGGGCACTGCCCAGGACTGGGCTGGTGGCAAGCACCCCCAGAGCTGCCCTCTGCCACCACCTCCTCCAAGCACCGCACGGCAGGACGGCTCCCGACAAGACTCAGGAGCGAGAAAGCACTCGTCGGGCAGCCCCTGGATCACCAGGATTCTCGACACTCAGTGTCCTGCTTCCCATGGCTCTCCCACTGCCGTGACCACAGTGCTGTGCTCGGGCGCCCATCCTGGAGAAGGCAGTGCCAGCAAATGGCAGAAGAACTAAGGGCAGAGGGGCCACGGTGCCATGAAGGACAGGCACGGACGGCTGGCCATAGGAAAGGCTCCCTGGGGAGGGTGGACTGGCTCTCTTCCAGGAGCCCCACAGCTCAGGAGAGGGAGCAGAGACCCTGTGACCTTCACATCTGTCTCCTGGGCTGCACACCTGGGGATCCCCATGGAACCTGCTCCCAGTGGCAGGCATGGCACCCATGCACACCACGGGGGCCTCTGCCGTCATGACCACAGGGCCCTCACGATCCCCCACCAAGGGACTGTCCTCCGCCTCCCGGCTGCCGCTCCGTGTCCCCCCCGAGACAGCAGCCTGCACTCGCCCACCAGCTGCGCACGCCCCGCAGGAGCGTCAGGACTCACCACTTGCCCACGATCTTGCTGGTGTAGCCGGCCCCCTTCAGCAGCTCAGGCAGCAGGCGCTCCTCAGCCGGGATGCCACCCACGACCTCCTGCGGCGTGTAGGCTGCGAGAGCACGACCGGCCCGGCACGGGCTCCGTCTGCTTCCTACCCCGGGGCACGACCGGCCCGGCACGGGCTCCCTCCGCTTCCTACCCCGGGGCACGACCGGCCTGGCACACTTCCCGCTCAGAGCTGCAGGTGCTGGGCTGCCCCGGGCTCAGGAAAGCAGCAGGGAAGGAGCCGCGAGTAGTGTCTGCCCAGACTGTCCTTGGCAGAGCAGCGGCCGGGAAGGAGCCCAGACTCTCCACCAAGTCCCCAGGAGGACCAGCACTCAGCCCGTTTCCTCTCCACTGACGACACGCATTTCTGACAGGGGCCTGCTCTGAAGGACGGGCTACCCCACACACAGCCTCTGAGCCCAGGCAAGCAGCTGGCGCTCACAGAGCTGGCCGGCGGACGCCAGGTCACGCATGAGAATGGTGGCAGACATCCCCTCCCGCCCGGGCCCTCGTCCCCTGTGCTGCAGGTGCTGCCTGCGGCACCTCATACCGTTTCTGGCATGCCCGTTGGTGGTGTAGAAGCCGCTGCGGATGGGCAGGCGTCCAGTGAGCAGAGCTGCCCGTGCTACACCGAGGAAACAGAAACTCTGTGAGCGCGCTGTCCCACGCCAGACCCACGGCCGGCTCGCGACGCTCCTCCTCCTGTTGGCATCTCCAGAGTGACAGCCTAGCGGGCTACGCGCACGGCACAGCACGCCCCCCAACACCGGCCTTCCTTCCCTTCCTCGGGGGGGCATGTAAGGAACCTTCCCGGCACGAGTGGCTGTCCTGGGAGGAGGGGGCGCTTGTCCCAAACCACCCAGAGCCACTCCACTCTGGGAAAGACGGGAAGCAGGTGCCATTGGCAGCAACTTCTGCCTCCAAACCCCTGACAGGCTCCGTGCCCTTGGTGGCCCGTGACAGCACAGAGTCCAGCTGCCCCAAAGTGCTGGGACCCCGACGGGAAAGGGCTAGGGCTGCCACACCCACCTGCAGCCCGGCTGGTGCTCTGCTTGGAAGGAAGCCGGGAGGCGCCCGAGTGTTGGTCCCCGCTCCCTGTGCCCACGGGCCAGTCCCGACTTACATGGCGAGCACAGCGGGTTGGCTGAGTAGAAGTTTGGGAAAAGCATCCCTTCTGCAGCCATCCGGTCCAAATTTGGGGTCTCTCTGGAAGGTTCTCCATATACTCCTAGGTCGCCCCACCCCATCTGCAGAAAAGAGCATGGAGAGGTGGCACAGACCTCCTTTCGTCTTGGGGGAAGTGTGAGAGCTCAGCCAGGAGCTGCCCGCCCTGTGCCCCACGAGCCACAGTGTTCTCACTACACCCCGGTGCCCAGTGTGGGCCGTGGGCACCATCAGCAGCTTTGTGGCCGGCTTAGCGGGGACGGCCACATGCTCGCGGCTCCTCAGCCTCTGATGCCAGCACCTGTGGCTCCCAGGGAACCGGCAACTCGGGATACAAACCAACACACCACAGGAAGGAGCTGGTGCGCAGACTGAGACCGAAAACACGCAGTGAGGCCCCCACTCAGGGAGATGCAGCACGGCCACGTGACTGGCTGTTCCACTCCCAGGTCTAGCCGCGAGAACGGGACACAAGCACCAGGCACGACGACACAAACCACACGAGTGTCCATGGAGGCATGACTGACGACAGCCCAGAGCAAACGCACCAGGCATCCGACGGCTGCTCGGTGGACATACAGACGACAGCCGCTCGGTGGACACACGGACTGCAGTCTAGCCGCGCGGTTCGGGCCGAAGGTCATGTCCACTCAGAACCTACGCACGGCCCCGTATGTGGAAACACAGGTGTAGGGGTGCCTGGGTGGCTCCGTTAAGTGTCTGACCTGATCTCAGCTCAGACCTTGATCTCATGGTCATGAGTTCAAGCCCCGCGCTGGGCACCCGGCTAGCGGAGCCCACTTTAAAAAAAAAACAGATGCTCTGGTGTGACCGGCCTGGAAGTAGACTCATGAGACTAAGGCAGACCCCAAATCCAGTGCAGAAGACAGGGAGCGGTGGGACGCAGGCAAAGGGGAGCACGGGAGAGCAGGGGCTGAGGGCCATGGCTGCACACTGGGACCGCCGGGAGCCGCCGGAGCTGGCGGTGGCAGGAAGGGTCTTCCTCCGAGCCTCTGGAGCCCACCCGGCTGCCACCCTGACTTCAGACTTGGGCCCTCAGAACTGGGGCTGGAGAGTTTCCTGTTTGAGGTCAGTGGTGACGCCCTGGGCAGCGGCACAGGAACACTGGACATGGCTGGGCCGGGAATCAGGACGCTGGGGGCCAGGGTCAGCTACGAGGACCGCGCGCTGCGGGGTTCGGTTCCGTTTCCGGGAAAGGCCAGAACAGGCAGGTCCAGAAGGCCGGGAGGTGGGTCGTGGAGCTGGGGAGGAGGCGATGCCTGCCAAGGGGCCAACGAACACGACCAACACGGCCTGAGGTGGACCGTGCGTGGCTGCACAGGGCGCTGCGCTCACGAGAGCCCACGGACCTGCCCAGCGAAGCCCGTGACCCCAGGCCAGCAGCCTGCGCGCCGTCCCGGCACAGCTGTCAGCCAAGTGCAGGCCCTGCAGGCCGTGGCCTGCTCTCCCGAGTCAGCCGGCAGCCGGTCCCTTCGGCCTTTCAGCTCCGGATTCCCCCGGCACGGCTTATCCTGACATCTCTGAGACGGCTGCTCTGTCTGCGGGCACAGGCCTGGCACGGAGCAAGCCCCCGAGGGAGGCGTGGCCACAGGAAGGACGGAGGCTGAGCCAGGGGCAGACATGTCCCGCGGTGACAAGAGTCTGTGAGGCCCTGCACAAAGCCGCATACGCAGGGACAGGGCCCACAGGCCCCAGTCGGTTGCAGGAGGGCCCGAGAGCTCGGTTGGAGCCTGACCCAGCCGCCCACAGTGCAGGCGGAGGGCACGGCCGTCTCCACCCCAGGCCACGGGACTCACTTCCCTTCCTGGGGCCCGGCCTCCCTTCCCCTAGAGCTTGGAGACTTCTGAGAGAGCTGCTCCCTGCTGGCTGTGAAGGGTCACCCTGGGCCCTCAGACTCACATCAACACGCGTGGAAGGACACACGTGGTCTACTCAGTGGCTCCGGCGGCTCCCGCTGGGGTCCCCACCTACAGGCCCGCCGCACTCCCCCCAGAGCTGCTTCTGTTCAGCCCAACTGCACCCCCCCAGCCATACAGATAAAGAACCAAGACACAGCCAGTGTCCAGGCGCTCGGGAGCGGGCCTCTAAGCCCCTGCCCACCCCAGCCCTGCCAGCCACAAAGAAGGGAGGAAAGTCAGCTCCACGGGAGAGACCAGGGTCAGCATCCTCCAAACGCAGCACACATCTGTGGGGGACCCGTCGGGCCCTGAGCGCGCCGAGGAACGGTGAGACAGCGGCAGTCCTGGCCTCTGACAGGCGCCCCCAGGAAAGTCAAGGGGCTGGTGAGCCCCGTCACCGCTGCCCCCGTTCTGCCCCCCAACTGGCCCTCCCCAGTGAGTCTGGCTCCGGAGAGACCCACGCTATCACATAGGGCCCTGCAGCGGGGCCCGGCAGGGTGGGTGAGGCCGCAGCTGCAGGATGCGCCTCCGGACCCCGAAGCCCCCACGGCCCCGGCCCGTCCAACAGGAGAGCCAGGGTGTCTGCTTCTGCCCGAGTCACTGTGAGTGTGTTTTCTGTCGGTTGTCACCAAGATGTCCGAACTAACCTGGGTTTGCCAGCTAGGACAAAAGCTGTTGTGACTTTTTTGTGTTTCGGCTGCAAACGATCCTAAAGCCACAAGGAGGAACTTGCACAAGAGAGGCCTGGCCCCAGTCCTGGCCCCCCAGTCGGCTGTTCTGGTTCTCTGCTGCCTGGCGTGGGGTGCCCGGGTGCGGGGTGGGGGGCTCCCCAAAGCCCCCTGAGCACACCTCGGTGCTGGTCGCGCACCACTGTGCAGGACCTCTCCGGCCTGAGCCAACGCTTACAACAGAAACACCACCACTTGCACACATTAGCCTTTTCCGGCCGCCCCACCCAAGAGGCAAAAAGAAACGGAAGAAGGGTGAACGTATTTTAACTGTGTGTACTCAAAACACGATCCTCTCAACACACATTCAAGACTAAACGCTCTTGGCCCCAGTGAGGAAGCAGCAGGCGGCTGACTGTGCACCCCGCGGTCACCGCGGATGGGAGGACAGGGCGGGCGTCGGAAAGGCCGAGCAGTTGGCAGGGTCTGGCCTGCACAAAGAGCCTGTTCAAGGCGGCCTCCTCCGGGCTCAGCCTGCAGAAGCCGCGCCGTGAGCCAGAGAGCACGCGCGTCCAAGATGGGCTATCTGCAGTGAGCAAGGTCTCCCTAGCCGCTGCCGGGACGGGATCTGAGGACCCGGGCCCGGCTTCAGAAGCAGCGCCCCTCTGAGCACGCACATGGGATTAGAGAAACATGGTTACAGTGATTCCCAGGAGAGCAAAACCACGGACAGATGTCCGCCATCTTTCAGCATGATCTAAGAACCCTTAACTTTTCACAATAAGAAATTGTTATTTTAATAATAAAGTTACATATTTTTAAGATTCTTATTTGTCAGAGAGAGACACAGTGTAAGAGGGAACACAAGCACAGGGAAGCCGGAGAGGGAGCAGCAGTTTCCCCGCTAAGGGGCTCGGTCCCAGGACCTGGGATGATGACCTGAGCCAAAGGCACTGGGCCGACTGGGCCACCCAGGCGTCCCCCCCATAATGAAGTTATTGACTGACAAATTCTTTTTTTTTTTTTTAATGATTTTATTTATTTACCTGACAGAGACAGAGATAACAAGTAGCAGAGAGGCAGGCAGAGAGGAGGAAACAGGCTCTCTGCTGAGCAGAGAGCCCGATGTGGGGCTCGATCCCAGGACCCTGAGATAATGATCTGAGCTGAAGGCAAAGGCTTTAAGCCACTGAGCCACCCAGGCACACCCCCCCCCCCCAATAATGAAGTTACTGAATGACAAATTCTACGTTCACTTTCCTGAAGTGAAGGAAGTTCCTGAAGTCTCAGGAACCAGAGTGTTTCACAGGCAGCTCTCCTCAGTGCTGACCCCAGGACAGCCTGGCAGCCGAGCAAGGCTCGTGGCCCTGGTCCAAAGGCTCCCGTGAGGCTATCTGCCGGCCTTTTGGGGAAACTCTGAGCAATTTTTACTGAAAATACTTCTGACTCTAACTGTGGGTGTTTCCACAGCAACTGCTTCTTCAACTTGCCATGGTCCAGTTCTACCCCAGCTACCAGGGGCTGGCATCGGACCCCACAGGCCGGGCGCGATGCCACACTAGTCCTGCTGCAGAGGCCGGCTGGGAGGCCCAAGCCTCTGTACTTCTCTTCCTTTTTTCTCCCTTTTCTTTCTTTTAAAAAAAAAAATAATTAATTAATTTATTTATTTGACAGACGGAGAGCACAAGCAGGCAGAGAGGCAGCAGAGAGAGAGAGGGAAGCAGGCTCCCCGCTGAGCAGAGAGCCCGATGCGGGGGCTCGATCCCAGGACCCTGAGATCATGACCTGAGCTGAAGGCAGAGGCTTTAAACCACTGAGCCACCCAGGTGCCCTTTTCTCCCTTTTCTGTACATAAGCTCCACACCCAACATGGAGCCCAACGCAGGGTCTGAACTCACGACGCTGAGATCAAGACCTGAGCTGAGACCAAGAGGCGGGTGCCTCACTGACTGGGCCACCCAGGTGCCTCCCGGGCGTCCATACCTCTGGTGGGGCTCAACCATGTGCTGTGCACCCCGGGACGCGCCATGTTTCCTACTACGTTTGTCATAAAGGATGTCCGGCAGGAACAGCAGACGGAGGAGACGCCCTGGGCGAGGTGAAGGCAGGGGGAGGTCCCACCGCCAGCACCTCCATGAGTTCACCAACCCGGAAGCCCTCAAACGCCACTCCTTAGGGTTTCGTGGAGGCCTGGCTACAGACACAGCACTCATCACGTCACCGGCCATCAGTGTCGGAACTCGAGCCCCAGCCCGCGGCCTTCCCCGGAGGTCAGGGCCGTGCTGAAAACCCCTGCAGAACCAGGCCTCAGGCTCTCTGCAGACCCGTCCTGAACCTCTCCAGGAGCCTCCACTACCCGCCCAGGCACGCCGAAGCTCTACTATCGTGGCGGGGTCCTTCAGGGTTTGAGGAGCGCAGGCCAGCACGGGAGACAGGCCCTGAGGGGCACCAAGTGCCCGGGCCTGCCTCTGTGCTCCCGTTCTACCCCGACACCTCGCGCCAAGTTCAAAACCTGCACTTCACTGCCAACCTCTGTGATCAAGAGACGGGTGACAAAGTCACAAAGACAGCGGGACGGCTCCGTCCCCTGCCAGGCACCCCGCTAACCTCTACAGGGCCGGTCCAGCAGAGTGACTAGAGTGAGCCCACGCCGGGGCTGCACACACACCCAGCAGCGGACCCAGACAAACCTGACCCGGGCCAGAACTCCCAGCCACCCAGAGCAGCCTGGCCGGGGAGACAGCAACAGCCCCCGGCAGGGCACATCCTGGACGTCCTGGCAGACGGGCCTGGGTCCCGGTCAGCTCTGCACCCATGGCCTGGGGGGGAAGGCAAGGGGACCGGGGGGTGCTGGGGAACTGGTCTGGGCCATCCCTCTGTCGGTCCGCACGGGGAGAGGGGGCTGTGCTGCAGGGCTCGTCCCCTGGGCAGCCCAGCGGGGCCCACCTCAGTCCGGCACTGCCGGGGCAAGACCGCCGATGGCCGGACCAGGATCTAGGGGGCCGGTGGCCGCCGCACGGGCCCTCCCTCCTGCCCGCCGCGCCTACGGCCCTCCACCGCTCCCCTGCCCCGACGGCGCGCCCCCAGCCCCACCTCCTCACCGCCCTCCCCAGCAAGGTCCTGGCCGCCAGCCCTCCCCGCCCCGGCCCCGCCCCGCCGGCCGCCCCCGCCGCCCCGCGTCGCCCGGGGCCGACCCTGGGAGCCCGACCCGCGGCCGCACTCACGTCGTCCATAAGCAGGAGCACGATGTTGGGGGGCTTGGGCGCGCCCACGGCCGCAAGCCCGGCGGCGCCCAGCACCCACAGCAGCCGCCACCCGGTCCCCGCGGCGACCGGCGCCATAGCAACCGCTGCGGGAGCCGCGGAGCCCTCGCGGCGGCAGGAAGCGGCGGGCGCGCAGCAGGCGGGCCCGGGGAGGGGGGCGGGGCAGAGGCGGCCGCGTGACTCGCGGCGGGGTCACGTGACGCGGCTGCCGGGCTTCCAAGATGGCGGTGTGCGTGGCGGTCATCGCTAAGGAGGTGCCTACGCGGGCGGCCGCCGAGGGGCTGGGGGCGGCCGCCGAGGGGCTGAGGGCGGGCCGGGGACCCCGGCTCTAGCCCCCGCCTCCCCCCTGCCCCGAGGACTCCGCCGAGCCGGGGGGGGGGGACGGTGCGGGGGGGTGGGCTCCGCCCAGGCGGCGTCTGCCGCGGCTGGAGTGTCAGCCCCGGGCGAGCACCGCGCCCCGGACCCCGCTTGCGCCGCCGCCGTCCGTCCGCGGGCCCCACTGGGTCCCGCTCCCCAGCCTGGCTGTCCGCTCGTGCACGTCGTGCTGCGCCGCGCGCTCCCGTCCGGCCACAGCATCGCCCGCCCCGCGGCGAACGGCCTCCTCTCCGCGCAGCGGCCACGGTGCCGTTCTGAAGCCGCAGCGTGGCCCGGCCCCGGCTCTCCCCAGTGGCTCCCCATGGCCTTAGGGCAGCGTCGGGATAACTCAGTCGCCCCATCCCCTTCTCCCCTAACCAGCCTCTCGGCCCGTGGGATTACCGGCAGCTCCTGCCACAGGCTCTGCTTTCTCTGGGCCTGTGCGCTCGGAAACCCACTGCCGCTTCGTAGCTGGCCGCCGTGGGTGTCGTTTCCTCGAACCCTAAGACTGAGCTGGGTGGCCATGCACACGGTTTCCTGCAGCACACAGCGTTGGTGTCCTGTGTCTTCTCTAAGACCAGGCTCATGAGGCGGTCCTTACAGAAGTTCTTCGAGGGCCGTCTTCTGCCCTATTAGCACATGACATGTTATTTATTTGGTGGGTTTGTGGACTGGCCATTGGCCCAGGAACAGCATCATGTTTATGGTATCTGTGTAGCACCAGGTACGGGACAGAATCAGTGAACTGTGGCATATGGGAGACCTGGGAAGACCCTACCGACCCCTGGCGTTAGGGTGGAAAGAACTGGTCATGCAGAGATGAAGGGAGGTTTGAGCTGAGCCTGGACGAGGTTTAGTGAGGGCAGAGCAGTGCCTCTGCTGAGGTGAAGGCATTGCAGTAGGCACGGATAGGGGAACAGCTAGTATTTACCGGCTGGGAGGAGAGCACATGCTAGGACTGGGCCCTGCGCAGAAGCTGAGTGACTTTTCCAGCAGCAGGGTTGCTGTCACACTGTGCTCAAACCCACTGTTTCTGCCCGCCAGTGATGCCCCGTGCAGGCAAGAGGTAAACCTGCAGGGTAGACTGAATTCCCCAGAGACACCCCCTGTAGCAGCTTGGAGGAGTAAGCAATAGGTTTTAGAGAATGAGAGTGTGTCCCCCTGTGGCTAACTGGCTCCTGGCCAGTCCTCCGTCCTGAGTGTGCTGAGGCCTCATCCTTGAGGCCTGTGACCCAGGGTGGTTTCTCGGCGCCTCAGTTCTGGCATCCTTTCTTGCAGAATTACCCTCTTTACATCCGCAGCAGCCCCACTGAGAATGAGCTGAAATTCCACTACATGGTACACACGTCCCTAGATGTGGTGGACGAGAAGATCTCTGCCATGGGGAAGGCCTTGGTGGACCAGAGGGAGCTCTACCTGGGCCTGCTGTACCCTACGGAGGACCACAAGGTGTATCCTTCATACCTGGTGGGGCGCCTGCGGGCAGGTGGTCTCCCTCAGCAGGGTTTCACGTTTGGAGATCCCGCCTCTCGTTTTGAAGGGCACTTAGGATCAGGTGACCTTGAAAGATGCAGTATCGCTTAGAAAGAAAGAGCTTTAGCCAACAGGGAATTAGGGTCTCTTGAGACCAATGAAGACTTTACGCCATTTTTTACTTTATTTGGGAGGATAATGTGGGAAAAGCTGGGCATGAATTCCTTGGAATAGTGTGGCAATCTGCACACCGGCTGAGGAACTGGGGGCTCTCCGCTTTCATTCCCGTGAAGATGGCTTTCTAGGCTCTGTCCTCTGGGCCACCGCTTCTGAGGAGGGACAGTTCCGTCCCCAGGCCCAGCCCCACAGGCCGCCATCACAACTTGACCAGTCCCTGGGGATAAATGGCATGAAACCCATGGAGTGCAAAGACCGCTCCATGAGTAGTATTGTCGCTTGCCCTCCGGGACATCTCCCCGAGAGCTGCTGTTCTACCGGATAAAGTGGGCTTTTGTGGCGTGGGTGCCTTAGGCGGGGTCCCGTGGGGTCCTCCTAGTATTGTGGGACAGGTCCAGCCCGGGGTCCTTGTATGGTGTCCTGTTTTTCCAAAGCGGCCTTGGAGCCAAGGGCTGTGCACAGATGGCCCTTGGCTCATACACTCTCCGTGGTGATGCCGTGTCTTGTGCTGTCGCAGAGTCCCTGTGAGAAACGCATGTTCCCTAACCAGCTCTGCAGGTACGGCTACGTGACCAACTCCAAGGTGAAGTTCGTCATGGTGGTGGATTCCTCCAACACGGCGCTGCGGGACAACGAGATCCGCAGTGTGAGTGTGGGGGGGGTCTGCGGGATGAGACCTGCGGTGTAAGTGTGGGGGGTCCGCAGGACAATGAGATCCACAGTGTAAGTGGGGGGGGTCTGTGAGACGAGACCTGCAGTGTAAGTGGGGGGGTCTGCGGGCAGTGCCTGGGCTGGCGCGCTTTCTCTTTTCCACTTTGTTTTCAAATGCTGAGAAGTCAGAACGTTGGCGGCAGCCGTGTGTACCGTGAACCGATGCCATTGGCTCTTGTCGCAGATGTTCCGGAAGCTGCACAGTTCATACACGGACGTGATGTGCAACCCCTTCTACAACCCCGGGGACCGCATTCAGTCCCGGTGAGCCGACTGCGCTGCAGCCCCTCCCTTGCGGAGAGCCGCGGTTCCCAGCGTGCGGGAGGGAAGGTCTGTGTCAGTGCTGGGCGTCGTGCCGCTAAGCAGTGACGCTGACGCAGCAGAACCCAGTTTTCCCAGTAAACGCTTACGTGGGCGTCCGACATATAAAACAGACGAGGACTGGGTGCAGGGCACACACCTTGCCCTCTCGGTTTCCCAGGTGTGCCCAGTCAGTCCCAGGGCCTCCACGGAACCCAGTAGGGGCCCAGGCGTGTTACCGGACCTTTGTGAGAAAATGCCCTCCTGCTCCTGCCCAATTTTGTCTTCGGTCTGCACTTGGGGGGTTAGGGAACCGGATCATAGGGGCCTTGCACGTGGTCCTCCGAGAGACACAGACATGACGGGGGACTCCACAGAGATCTTACAAGGAAGCGTTCGTGCACATGTTCCGTATCTGCTCCTGGGAATTCCCTACATTCCTACACGTGGTTCCCAAGGGGCTCCTCCGAGCCAGCAGGTGAGAGGATCCTGCGTGGCCCAGCACGGGGTCACCCCTGCCCGTGGTGCCTTCCCTCAGCCAGGCCTCTGTGTCTCAGTTCATCCTGGGCCCTGGGTGAGAGAAGCAGGTGCTGGTACGGAGAATCCTGCATCTCCCAGGCTGCCTGGCAGCCGCCGCCCCTCCACCCCTCCCCAGAGATCCAGCCGCAGCGGGACTTCGGGAATGGCACAGACCTAGCCTCCCCCTGCCGGCGTGGCGGGACGCTGGCCTCGTAGCCGAGAAGTACGTGACTGCAGAGGGACTGTCCTGGTCCCAGGTCCCCGGTGGGGCTGCTCTGATGGCCATTTCTCTCCACAGGGCCTTCGATAGCATGGTGACGTCCATGATGGTCCAGGTGTGCTGAGTGACAGCCCCGCCGGTGTCGTAGGGTAGAGGCCCTGGGGACATGACTGTATCATCGTGCGGACATCCGTGATCGCTTGCCTGTTTCTGAGCCTCACAGACGTGCTGCTGGGGGCACGGTCTCAGGCGCGCTGCGTGCAGACTAAATGTCCTCTGGGATCGGATTTGGTGTTTTCCTTGTGTCAGCGGAGGATTTAGCTGGAGGGGGTAGCACGGGACACTTGAGGACACCGCACAGCTCGGGGAGGGGCAGGGAGGGTGGTGGGAGAGCCCACGGCGCCTCGGCCCTAAAGTTGCTGCCGCTGCAGGGGCAGCTGACAGAGGTGCAGGGAGACTTGGGGTGGGCCTGTGCTCCGGAGGCTGACCTGGCGGGGAGGTGTGGCAGGCCTCCATGGCCAGAGCCAGGTCTAGACCCCCGCTGCAGCCCACACACCTCCCCCTGCACGGAGGGGCCTGCATGGATCTGGGTTTGCACCGGGCCTCGGGAGGCCCCCCTCACAGAGCCCAGGAGCTTTGACTTGGGTTGTCAGGTGCCACTGGCTTTCTGAGGGCAGAGCAGGTAAGTCCCAGAGGCCTCTTTCTCGGTTGGGGCCTGGCTGGGTTAGAGGAGTCCCCGCTCACTTGCTTCCCTGGCAGGCCCCCGAGCTGGGGGGGAGGGGTCCGTTGGGGACGGAGCCGAAGGTTACTGGATTCCTGCACTCTGCTTCCCCAGAGGCCTGCCTGGCCAAGTGCACGTGACTGTGCCTTCCCGGTTGGCCCGGGCTCTAGTCCCCTTAGTCACTTGTTGAGCACACTGGCTTTGAGTCACGGGCCCCAAGACAGCTGCGAGTTCCTCCCTCCCCTCCTCAGTGCGCCAGAGAAGGCCTCTGACAGGAGGGAGGCAGCTCGGGGCCCCCTGGGCAATGGGGAAGGCTGTCCGAGTCCGGATGGAAGCCAGATACCTTCGCATCGCCTTCTCTTCCCGTCTGCGGAACACGGGACTCGTGCTCGCAGTTCAGAAGCAGAGGGAGAACTCAGTCGGCAGCGGGTATTAAACCCAAGTCCCCGGACCCCACCTCCCACCCCAGGTGGACCGGGAGGCCTAGCGGAGGGCTGAGAAGCACCACCCAGTGGGTGCTGCTTCTCATGCCAGCCCTGCACTCTCGGCCGCACTTCCTAGTATTTGCTCCCGCCTGAGTAGTGGCCGCGGGCAGCCTGCACGTCGCTGGCTGGCTTCCCTGCTGAGAGAGCCCCAGCCTTGTTGGCTACAGTTGACTATGGGAAGATATTTCCTCCTCTCCGTACCCCCACGGGGGGTCATTGGGCACGTGAGTGGATGGTACTGGGAGATACTTGGAAAGGGGCCTCAGCCAGCAGGTGGAGTCCCCGGCCTTCGTCGTTTTCCTTCTGCGTCTTGGATGTGATGGCGGACGCTAGGGCAGCCCTCTCGAACGCATGAGGAAGAGCTTTCTCTCCTCCAGATGGGGAGCAGAAAGCCAGAGGGAATGTGGGTTTTGCTGACCGGGGCCTGGACTTCTTACAGTCAGCATTCTGTAGAGGAAAATAAAGTAAACCGCTGTCTTATGGAAGGCACCGCTATTCCGGTCTTTCTGTAGGTGCAGCCAGACCAGCCCTTAATTGTGCTCTGCAGTCAGGCGCTTTCTGACACGTGGTTACGTGGCATCCCCATTTTAAGCCTGAGAAAAGCAGGGCTCAGAGATAACGAGCTGGCCCGCACGCCGCCAGTGGAACCATCCTGTGCTGGCTTCCTGTCACCTTCAAGCACTCTGCCTTGAGGCCAGCCTCCTTAGGGGCCACCGCCTGCCCGTCCCCCCAGCCTGGAGCTGGGCCGCTGCGCTGCGGTTGCTTGGGAGATGGCTCCCTGTCCTTCCCTCTGCCCCGGACCAGACAGGAAGCCTTTGTGTCTCGGCCTTCTCCAGGCACAGCCACGTGAGTCCCGTCAGCAGCTCTCACCTCTTGGAGCCCTCACCACCCGTGCGGCCACCAGCTCAGGAGCGTTCTTCATCCCCTCTCCATCTTGGTCTGCTTTGGCCTGAAATCCACGGGAGAGGAGGAACTCCTAGGTCACTCCGCAGAGCGGCCACACAGAAGGGGTCAGGAAACACTCTGAAAAGGAACCCGATGGGGGTGGGGAGACTGCCCACAGGACCTTGCAGAAAAGCCAGCATGCACGGTGAGTGCCTCGAGACGGAAGCAAATCCCCCCTCGCCAAGGAGGGGAAGCAGTCCCGGGTGCTGAGCGGGCAGGAACCGGTGTCGCCTGCTTGGTGCCACACAAACTCCAGCCTAGGGGACCGTGTCCCGCACGTGTGCCTCCTCTGCACCCCCCTGACAGCACGCAGCCCAGGGCCATCCCGGGCTCTGCCCTGACAGCCCCGCCTTCCTGCCTTCTCATGGGTGCACACGTGTGCGTGAGCAAGCGAGCGGTACCCCCAGGTTCCGGAGGCCAAAGTCAGGAATCCAGGGGTCAGCAGGGCCAACTCCTCCAGGAGGATCTGAGGGGGTATGTGGTTCATGCCTCTGCAGCTTTGGACAGCCACCCGGGTTCCTCGGTTCAGACGCAGCCCTACAACCCCCGGCCGGTCGCCGCAGCCTCTGGGGGCATGTGTCTCATTGGATTTAGGGCCCACCCAGATGACCCAGCATGATCCTGACCTCCTCCCAAATAAGGTCCCATTCGCAGGTTCTGGAAATTAGGATATGGAACTTTTCTCCCAGGGGCATCATTCACCCCACTCAAGGGCAGACTTGACCCCAGATCATGGGGGTTATGAAGCTGGTCTGAGAGAGGATGCCAGAGACAAATGTGGGTGGAGAGCCAAGGGGTGGCCTGTCCCCCTTACCCCACCTGTGGACCCCCGGTGGATGGCAGCCTGGGGCAGCTCTGTCCCCGGGGTCAGGAATGGATAGGTAGGGCAACTAGGCGAGTGGCTTTAGAAGAGCCCAGTGAGGGATGGTTGGCAGTTACCTAGCTTCAGAGCAAAGGGAGTTTCCTTGCCCAGCCCTGCACTGGGAAGGAGCACGTACTGCCCCTTCAGGGGGAAGTGGGTTGTGTCTGCCTCAGAGCCCGGGCAGTCGAAGTGCCCAGCATGGGGACCTTGCTTCTGCTCTCTGAACTTCTGACCAGGGCCAGGCTGGGGCCAGGCGCTCAAGGTGCGTGCCCTCCCACAGGGCCTCACTGTCACTCACCGTGGGGGGCAGCACCGACCACGCAGGCCACCAGGCCTGGGCTGGACACGCAGTTAGCTGCGGCTCCCCATGGAGCAGGGGGCTGGCTACTGGCTGAGAAGTGGGGTAGGGCCCAGTCTGGGACCCATCACTGGCCTTTCACTGTCAGGCCTGCACCCGATGAAGAGGCAAATAAAGGGGAGGCCTGTTGTCATGTGCTTTTAAAAAACTTAAAAACTATTCAGATGTAATCTCATGCTAACGGTTAAGACACGTTTCTACTTTTCCTTAAAAAGACTTGGAGAGGGGCGGCTGGGTGGCTCAGTGGGTTAAGCCTCTGCCTTCAGCTCAGGTCGTGGTCTCAGGATCCTGGGATCGAGCCCTACATCGGGCTCTGGGCTCAGCAGGGAGCCTGCTTCCCCCTTTCTCTCTGCCTCTCTGTCTGCTTGTGATCTCTCTCTCTGTCAAATAAATAAAATAGATAAAATCTTAAAAAAAAAAAAAAAGACTTGGAGAGCTCCAGGCCGACTCAGCGCAACCTGTCCGAAGCGTTACCCAGTGCCTTCCGCAGCCGGGATTGGCGCAGGAACCACCTCCTCCGCCCCCGGCCCGACCTCCACCTCCAGCCCCGGCCCCACCCCCGCCCCACGGTGCCCGGCTCCACGCACGACCTATGGCTCGGGCTGGGGCGCCGCGGAGTGAGTCCCGCAGGGAGCGCAGCTGTGGACCCCCGACCCACCGCGGCTGCACTCAAAACCGCACCCGCCCTTCCGCACCCCGGACACCACGGAGGGAGCTTCCACCGCCCCTGCGCGGAGAAACGGGGCGCGGGCGGGGGCGGGGGCCCGCCCCGCCGCCTGGCCCCACGCAGGCCCGCCCCCCAACCGAGTCCGCACAGGCCCCGCCCCATCCCGGGTCCCGCCCTTGGGCCCCGCCCACCGGTTCCGCCTTCGCGATCTGAAGCGGGTTCCGCCCGGACGCCGCTGCGCGGGAAGAGCCCACCTCCCGCGCCCGGCTGTCCTCGGAAGCCCCCGCGGTCCGTGGAGCGGATCCCCGGCAAACTGGTCCTTTTGGGCAGCACCTGGCGCCGAAGGCGGACTACCTCGGAGACACCTGTTCTCCTCTCCTCCTCCGCAGCGCGGCGGAGCCCAGGACTAAAGCTGCCTCCAGGAAGCCTTCTTGGGTTTCTCTGCTGGAGGCTCCCAGGCAGGTGCGCTGCGGTTATTGCATCGGTAATTACGACCCGCAGCTCCTGAGCATGGAGCTCTGGGGCGTCAAACCCTAACCTGTTTCCAACCTTTTCAGAATTCCCACTCACACCTGAACTGTCCAGCCGCAGACAGGGGCGGGTGATGTGGGCCTGGCATCCCCCAGGGGTCCAGCTGGGGAAGGGAGCCCCACCCTCCCACCCCGTGCCTCATCCAGTGGAGACCCGCTGGGCCCTGAGCACAGACACTGGGGACTTGGAGAAGGGTCGTGGCCTCCCTGAGCCCGAGTTTCCTGCCTCCTCAGGGATTCACAGGCTCGTGTGGTTTAGGGAACACACCTTGATGACTCGGCCGGGGACGATGGTCTCATCCAGCCCCACGGCGGCCTGGGCTAGCTCTTGGTGGCCAACTCTATGTGTGCATAGCTGGGGCGGATGGACAGAGCGAGTGAGAGCCACCCTGGGATGTCCCGGCTCTGTAGTACCCCAGGGCGCTCCCCCCCCCCCCCCCCAGGTCTCCTCCCTGAGCCTCCCACCCCCCACTCCCCACTACCTGGCTGGCACTGACCCCTTGGGGTGTCCGGAGAACTTGGTGCACAGGATGGTGATCCCGTGGACCTCCTCGCGGGGGCTGAAGTAGGCTACCAGCTCCTCTGCTGTGCCCCCATAGTCCACCTGCCACAGGTATGGGCCCCCGGTGTGGAGGGGCCTCAGCAGAAGCTTTGCCTCCCTCCCCCCCAGGGGCTCCCACCTCAAGTTTTCTTTGTAAAGAGGTGGAAGTAGCTGCCACAGTCTCGGTCCCCCACCCCTGCTGCGGGTGGACTGGAGACAGAGACATGTGCCCTCCATGTGGGAGACGACCCCCTAAGTTCATCTGGCCTGCGCAGACAACGTAGGCCTTTTTAAAGTGGGGTTTGTGGCCACAGTGATTGGCCAGCTGGAGACTTCCCGTGGAATGGTTTCTGTCGGGACACCAGAATGCCTGAGGACACAGGCCCCACGTTCTCTCCTGGGCAGCCCACCCCCCAGTCAGGTCCTGTCCTCTGGCTTCTCCCCTCCTGGGCCTGTGCCTCTTTCTTTAATCCTCAAGGCCAGGAGGAGGTGGCTGACCCTGGGCACCCACTGCAGGGGCCCCATCTTGCCCCCTCCTGGACTCACATTGCTTGCATAGACAGATCTGTGGTCCAACTCCACCTTCTCCATGGGGGTCCCGGGGCACAGGCAACCTACAGAGAGGGGCCTCAGGATAGGGGTCTCACTGCAGGCAGGCGGCTCCAGGCAGGTGCTAAGGGCAGGCACCTCACGTTCATGGCTTACTTCTCGCTCCTTGGGGAAGAGGCTTACCCCCAGGGACTGTTCTGAAGGCTAACAGCACCCCGGCCCCGCCCCATGGGCTGGCACTGAGCCTCCAGCAGCTGCAGCCCACCCAGATGCACCGATGGGGCAGGGGGTTCAGAGCCACGTGCCCAAGGACTCGTGGCCGACCCACCAGGGAAGGTGGCAGCCGGGCCCGCTGGCTCTTACCTGCCTCGGGGCTCAGCAGCTGCAGGACCACTGCGGCCCCCTTGCCCCGGGCGTCTCCGGCCCTTGGGTCTGCTCCATGGCCCACAGCTTCAGTTTGACGGCCTCTAGCTCCTGCCCGCACGACCCCAGGTTGAGCCCGAGGCATGACGGCCCCTAGGCTCCTCTTGAGGGAGGGCAGGGGGAACAGGCCTGACCCTGTCTGTCCTCAGGGTCACTGGCTCCAAGGGGACATGCTGGGGGGACCAGGAAGGCTGTGTGGACTGGGGCCCTGCCATCCTCCCTGGCCTTGCAGGGGTGGACATACCCGTGACCCTCTCTGGGTCACGAATAGTGGCCTGGAAAAGGGTCAGGGCTGCAGCCGGCGGTGCCTCTGATCCGTGAAGCACCTGAAGCCCTGGCCAGGCTTCACTGGGCCCCACGCGGACGCTACCGGGTCAGGCATGGGGCGCTCAGCCAGGTCCTCCCGGCCCCGGAGAGACAGGAGGGAGCCCCCCTTTTCATCTTCCTGGTCTTCCTCTGCTTCCCCTGGCTCCTCCTCCCTCCTGTCCCCACCCCCTGACCCCAGAGGGGGCTTCCAGGCTCCCCAGCCCTGGGCCTCAGGGTCCCTGGAAAGGCTTTGCAGCCAGGCCTCGGTAGGGGGTGGGAAGAGTGCGACCGAGGAGCGGCAACATGCCGTGTGGGTGGCGGCTGGAGGCCTCCCTTGCTTGCTCTGTGCCAGCACCTGCCCTCCCCCAGGGCTTTAAGCTCCTCCCCAGGCCAGCTGCTCCCGCTAGAGTGCTTCAAAGGCTTCCCGCTGGGCTGACCGCCAGCCCCAGCTTCTGGGCCCTTCCCCTTCTTTCTCACCCAGGAGGAACCCCCCAGGACACCAGAGGTAGAGAGAGGAGGGACGCAGGGAGGCAGGGCTGGGCAGGGTCTGCACCGGCATGAACTCTGCCACGCTCCCCGCCACACCTGCTCAGGGTCAGACCACGGGTGGGACGACACGGGCATAAGCGAATTCCTAAGTGTGCACAAGCAGGAAGGACCGCATGGGATGAGGACAGGCCTCCTGGAAGAGACAGGGGCTGCCCTAGAGGGACTGGTCAGGCAGAGCTGGGGCAGAGGACGGTGTGGGCGGAGCGACCAGCGTGAGCAAAGGCCTGGCAGGGGGTGAGGGCAGGGCGTGTGCCACAGGAGGTCAAAGGCCCATGGTGTGCACAGGGGAGGGCCCCGTCCCTGCTTCTGCCACCCCTACTGATCCCCCAAGGACACCCCTCTCGCGCCCTCACTCTGGACCTGATGGCAGGGGGGAGCCGGAGTCCTTCCCTGACTACAGGTCATAAACGTCGAGTCAGGTGCAGACTTGTGATGGACACTGGAGGCCCAAAGGCCGCTTGGCTTCCAGGCTGGCTTCTGGTCCTCACTTGTCACCCCTGGAGGGTGGCTGTGGGCCTGTGTCCCCATGTGCCCTGGCCTCCATCTGTCTTCGCTGGAGTGACTGCTCTGGCTGGCCTCAGCCTGACTCGGCCTCGGTGGGGCTCCTGCTTCGTGTTTATGGGGGACTCCTCTGGGCATGTTTGCTCACCCTGGCCCAGAGCCCCCCACCCCAGGCCATAGCTGGTAGGTCCACGCTGGGCTCATTGGAGTCTCTTCCCTGGGGACTTGAACTGTGGGGAGCTGCGTCTTACATGATGCTGGCCTGCGGGCCCTGGACCCAGGACAGACTCTCTCCCCAAGGGGGCGGAGGGCATGGGAGCGCTTGTCGCTGCTGCCCTGCCTCCTGGGCCCAAGCCCTCTTCCCAGTCGCCTTGCTCTGGGATCTCACCACTCTGGCCTCAGCCCCACCCGGCTGCTGCTGCCCTGCCTCCAGGAGCTCCCTGCTGCCACACTGCCTCCATTCCAGAGTTCACACAGCCACGCATACTGACAGTGGGCGCAATCTCTGTGCCGCTGTTTCCAGGAAGCCTCCCTGATTGCTCCTCCTTCCGCCAGGACTCCCCCTCAGTCTCCCTGGGCAGGTCACGGTGCCTCAAGGACAGCATCTGTGTCTGCACTGAGGACAGGGCCTTGGCCCAAGGCTGGCTGGGTGAGGATGGAAGTACGGCCATTCTGAAACACGAGGCCGCCGGGTCTTCTGCCTCCTGAGGGTCCGAGGCCCCATGGAGGGCCTGCAGCCCGGGCCCTTCCTTCCACTTCCACGTGGGAGGCAGAACACCAAGGTGGCTGTGTCCAAGCCAAGAGCCGGCTGGATTCAGGCTGGGCCCCCGCCAGCCTCTGTCTGAGCTCAGATCTCTGCAATGGAAAAACGCCGTCAGCCTGCTCTCTGCTGGGACTGCTGACACACCAGGCCCAGCTGGGGCTCCTGCCAGCCGCCTGGTGGGGGTACAGACTCGCCCCCACGCTGGCCTTTCCAATGACACCTTTCAAAATACATCATGTTCCAAGCCTGGGCCCAAGTATTAATAACAGCCTTTCCTCCCAGGGGCTGCCAGCACACCAGGAATGCCAAGCCCTGGGCATCCGAATCTGGCTAGGACCTGCTCTGGGAGCCAGGACACTCTGGCTGCGACACCCTGGCTCCTTGGGGTCAAGGTGTCCCTTCCCTCAGTGTCCTCCCTTGGGAGGGTCTTGGGGAAGGTGCTGGGCACAGCCACAAGCCTAGGTGTCCCCGGGGCCTAAGGTCATCCAGATCACCTTGAGGACCCAGATCTTGAAAGTTCACTCCGCTTGGCAAGAGCACAGGAGGCTGTGGGTGAACTGAGCCGGGGTGTCCATCGCCATGCACACCCCAACTTACGTCACCCATCTGTCCAGCACCCCCATAGGGCAGGGCCTTGTCTCTTGCCTGGCACCGGGAAAGCCCTCCGTACAGAGATGGTGAGCGGCCCCATGAGACGCGGCTTCCCTGCGGTCACCAGGAACCAAGGAGAGGCATAGCCCCGTGATGGCAAACGTTGGCTTTATTACACGACACAGATAATGGGTGTGACCTGAATCCAGGCGTCCCACAGCACCCAGCACCCAGGCCAAACACGCACATCAGGGGACACGCGACGGGGACGGCATGCCATGGGTCCCATAACACTGAGGAAAACCTGTCACAGGAAAATGAACCAACACTCGCTCCAACTCTTTCCGGGGAGTTAAAAAAAAAAAAAAAAAGAAGAGGGAAAATCCATCCAATCCCCATGAGCCTGTTCCTAGGACCTGACACCCTGGAGGCCAGCCTGGCTGGGCCCCCTCATCCTGGTGGACAGCAAGGGTGTTCATGGCCTCTGTCCTAATATTTTAAAAACAGGCTCCAATTTGAGTACCGACGTTGTTTCACAAGGGGTCTTTGGGGTGGCACTCCAAGAGCCAGTCAAGTTGAAACAAAAGGCATAAAAAGCATGCAAAATGGAGTTTTCCAGAACTGTGGGGGCCCAGACAGGTGCCGTGCAGACGCTGGGCTCCCCAGGCCTTAACCATGAGTGGGTGGATGGCGGAGCAGATATGTACCCTTAGCCCCGCGCCTCATGTTCTGCTTTCTCCTCCAATCCTGGCGGTGGGACCATCATCTGGGGGCCTTGCTCCCAGCCCCATTTTGGAAAATATCCCGTGTGGCGTGGAGCCTGGGGCCAGCAAGTGCTGGGCCTCCAGTGTCCCAGAGAACACCCCCGCCATCAACCACATTCAGCTTGGGCAGGGGCTCTCCCTGCAGCTCTCTGGAGCTCCGAAGGGCTCATTTCCAGAGTCTGCCGGCCCAGGATGGAAGACGGGAGTGGGAAAGAGGCACAGCAAGCCATGAACACCCAGGTAGAAGAGCTCCAGGGGCACTGGTCTCTTTCTCCCCACTCCTCCTCCTTTCCTGAGGACACCTCCTCCAGGCAGTGACCCTTGGAGACAAGGACAGGACACCCACAATTTTGGGGTCTTGCCAGGGAATGTGCTCACCCTGACTGGTGGCCCTGGTCACGGGGCCCCCGAGCAGGTGTGTGGGCCATCTCCCAGTGAGTGCTCCTGGCGCATGGCCACCACACTTGCCAGACAGTCTCAGACTGGTCAAACCTATTGCTAGGACATTGGTCCAATCTATTCACAATGCCTGGAGCAGGTTGAGGAGCTGGGGGAGGCCAGTTGAGTCCACAAGCAGATTCCTTTAGGGCAGTTGAGGTCATGGAAACATCCAAATTGTCCTTGTAGTTTTGGAACACTGTGGGATTAGGTGATGCTACTCTGGGTTCAATGGATGGAGAGGCAGACATGATGGATGGACTGAGGCATAGTTGTGTGTGTCAGATTGGAAAACGGATGTATATGCGTCTGGTGTGTATTGGGGTGGATGGTGGAGAGACAGGTGATTAGGAGAAAGTTTGAATGGGAGACAGTGGAATCAAGTGGCAGCTGAGATAGAGTAATGGATGGACAGATCGATGGGTGGGTGTTTGGCTGAATGCGTAAGTTGGTGGGTGGGTGGGTGAACAGATGAGTGGATGGGTGTTTGGGTGGATGGATGGACGGACGGACGGATGGATGATGAGTGAATGTATGGATGGACGGACGGATGGATGGGTGGGTGGGTCGGTGGGTGGAAAATTGGATGGGTGGGTGACTGGGTGCGTGGATGGATGGATAGATGGGAGGATGGACATGGGGCAGTCCCTGGCCTGGGCATCTGCCTCCCCTTGTCCTGCCCTTGACCCTTTTGGACATGGGTGTGTGGATGGACAGGTGAATGGATGAATGGATAGTAGATGGACAGATGGATGGGTAGATGAATGATGGACAGGTGGATGGATGGATGGATGGTAGATGGATGGATTGGTACATGGATGATGGATGGATGGATGGACAGGTGGATGGACAAAAAGGATGGATGGGTGGATGGATGGATATGTGGATGGATGGATGGACAGGTGGATGGATGGATCAGTGCATGGATGGATGGGTAGGTGGGTGGATGGATGGATGATAGATGGATGGATTTGCGCATGGATGATGGATGGATGGTTGGATGGATGGATGGATTGACAGATGGATGGACGAAAAGGATGGATGGGGGGGTGGATGGATGGGTGGGTGGATAGGTGGTTGGGTGGACGGATGGATCAGTCCATGGGTGGATGGGTGGGTGAGTGGTTGGATGGCCAGATAGATGACTGGTCAGAAGGGTTAGCTGACGTAATAAAAGAATTGAGAAACAATTGTAGTCTGGCTGGGGGGATGGGCAGAATAACGACCAGCATGCTGGCTAGAGTAGGCTAGAACAGGCAGGACAGGTGGATAACAGTGAAGGGCCTTTGGTGTCATTTTGAAGATATGTTTGAGAAAATTGGCAAGCAGAAATTTGGGCCTGTCCTGAGCCCTTTCTACCATGTCATTGAGATGAAAGCAAACCAATACCTCCTAGCCCCTGGCCTGTCCGTCTCCCTCTGCTGCTGAACCTCTAGACGCCCTGATGAGTGGCTCCCCCTGTGGAGCGCATGGAGCAGTGTCTGGCCTGGGCATCTGCCTCCTCTCATCCTGCCCCTGACCCTTCTGGACCTCCAAGACTGTCTCCCAGCTTTCCTCTTTGCCCCTGGCAACACCCAAGGCTTCCCTTTGGCCGTGATGAGCTGTAGGGATGGGGACCCTCTATTCTGGTGGAGTCTGGGGTAGCCCAGCCTGTTCACACGTGGAGTAGGAGCCACTAATCTTTGTAGGGACACCCCCCCCAAGACACCACCTGGGGATGTTGACATGTCCTAATGGGTCCACGGCAAGATGGGAAACAAGGAGATAGAGGAGTGGGTGGGAAAGGTTGAGGGGGTCAAACACTGGGAGGTGGGAGGGCCTAGGGGTGCCAGCCTCCTTCTCGTTGTCCCCCCCAGCCCCGTCTGCGCACTGTATGCGCCTGGGCTTGGGACGAGGGAGCTCTGGCTGTTGCCTGGCTGGCTGCCTCGCTCTGCCTTGCTGTGGTAGCCTGGGGCTCAGAATGGGAGATGAACCCTTTGAGCTTGATTTAGGGGGAGGGAGGCTCCATGAGCACCAGCGTCTCACTGAAGCTTTGGGTCACCTGTGTGTCTAACCCTGGCGCTGGCTGGTGGGAAGGAGACTGGCCAGTGGTTTACAAGCTTAGGAGGTAGCAGGGCACGAGGGTCTCTGAGCAGAGAGCAGGAGCCTAGATCCCCTTCTGCAGACCTCCTCTTTGCATGAGAAAGGCAGGCGCACACTCCAGCCCATCTCCTAATGACAGAAACTCTGCCACAGCCCCTCCCCAAAGCTATAGATTCTGTGTTTGGTGCTGCTGTGAGGTCTTTGGCAGAATGGGGCCTGAGCACATGGCGGACAGGAACACCAGCTCCCAAAACCTGGACCAGGCCCCAGTGCCCTGGGTGGGAGGAGCTTTGGGCATTGGCAGACACAGCTTCCCGGGACAGCTCCCGGTGGCTGGCGGGAAGCTTCAGCTTCCTCCCTGCGGGCCCCCTGCCCCAGCTGCTGTGCTCTCAGCCTGCAGGGGCTCCACTGTTGGCCTGAGGTCGGTAGGCTCTCCATGCCGGGCTCCTGCAGTCCCCCGGGAGCTGGCTTCTTGATATACGGGACATGGGTAGGGGAACAACACTGGGAAGACGGCCTTTCAGAGCGGGCTGGAGAGGGACCTGTTCCCAACAGCGATGGTGGGAGGGGCTGCCCCATCTCAGACCCCCGGGGCCAGCTGACACACTACATTCCCTGGTGCACCTGCTTGACCCTGAGGGGGGCCTTGTGAGGAGCGGGGAGACAGGCTGGTAGCGCAAGCCAGTGGGCCCCAGGGGAGGGGGCACACCTCGCCTCGGACCAGCAGCCTCAGCCTAGTCCTGACGTCGGGGACCTGGATCATCTGGGTCTCAGCCCTGCTCACCCAGACCCCCAGGTTACCCAGGGCAGACTGGACACAACCTTAGGGAACCGAGTCCAAAAGCACCTGCCTCCAATGTACACCACCCACACGGCTGTTTTCATAGGTTCGGCACTTGCCAGAGAGAAAGACGGAAGCCTGGACGCATGGCAGGCGGGTCCAGAGTCTCATCAAGAGCCCAAATCCCACACCGGTCCTTTCTTTTCTGAAACCCACGGAAGTGGACCTTTGACAGGTTCCTGGCCCCGTGGCTCGAGCCCAGGGACATTTCCGGAGGAGAAGGTAGGCCTGTGTCGACTTCAAGACTCGGGTTTACCATCAGGCAGGACTCGGGAAGGCCCCTGGCTGTGGCTCCTGGACGGAACCCGTCCTCCCAGGACCGAACAATGAACTCCTACAGCCCTGGGAGAGATCACAGCGATCGCACAAACCCACTGCTCCCCGCAGGACCACAGTTCTGATTTCTTTGAAAATCTATTTTCTGAGATTTCTGTGCTCCAGCGGTTTCTCTGTTTTTATTTGGCAAACAACCCTTCTCTGTTATCACCACCATGAACATCATGATTTGGACCTCTTCGAGAACTATATACATTCACATTAGCATATACTAGGACTTCCTGCCTCTCGGCGGGGCCCCCAAGAGCCCCAGTTTCAGTAGCTGGTCACTCCCCATACTGCGGTCCTGGGAACCCCTCCCAGTGATGCGAGAAAACGCCAGACCGCGAGCCGCTGCAGGTCCACCTAAGGAGTCCCCGCACGAGGGCTTCCCTACTCTCTTATGTCCTCTGTGAGAGGGTTGGGGCAGCTGAGTGGGGTGAGGAGATGGAGCTGGGGGCCCCGCAGCGGCACAGAAACGCGGGGCTCCCTACAGCCAACCCAGCCTCCAGCAGGCCGGCGAGGGCATTCTCGTTTGCAACTTTCCTTCTATTTCTGCGACAGCGTGCAGAGCGGAGAGTGGGGACAGCAGACCCCAGGGCCGGGGTGGCAGCGGGCAGCCTCGTGGGGTGCGAGGGGAGGTAGAGGAGGAGAGACGGAGAAGCAGCGTTTCCAAGGCCCAGATGCCGTCTCCTCGAGCTTTCAGAAGCAGTCAAGGATCAACCCAAAAGATTGTCACAGTTTCGTTTCAGAGTTATTCTCTCCTGGGAAGGACACGTTAGCGCTTTCCCACTCGTGGAAAACATGCAGCGTGATAAAGATTCACAGAGAGCGCGGGGACAGATGGGGGTGGCCCCTGCACGCACGTGGGCAGGGCCCCCTCCACCGCGGCAGAGAAACCCAAGGGACCTCTCGTTGAGTGAAACCCTCTAGACCCGGCGGTCCCCACACTCCAGACATGGAGTCAAAGCAAGAGAACAGGACGACACCTGAACAAATCCAAGAGTAGAGTAAAACCGTGGACAAAATACTTTGGCAGTGACAAAACCATTTTGGATTTTGATGTCTTGTGTTTGTTTTTTGGGTTTCCTTTGGAGCAGAGGTGTGTCCGGCGTCCTTGGCTAGCTAGCTGGCAAGGTAGCTTACAGGAATGGTTCCTTTCCTTTTTTTTTTTTTTTTTTTAAACTTTTTGGATTTCTACTTAAAGCCAAAGAGTTTAACGTTAAAGGAAAAAAATACTCTGAAAAATGTTTCTTGAGTTGGAAATTGGAATCGTTCTTACCATCTTCACCGCATTGGCTCCACGCCCTGGGAAGAGCTCCTGGGCCACGGCGGCTCCGACCTCCCACTGGAACATGTCCATTTTCTGTTTCCCTTTTTAATCACGAAGGGGACAAAACCCCCATTTCCTTTGTCTACTTCTCAGTAGGTCTATTCCACAAATCCCCCAAAATTCTTCACTGAAAATATAAGCCACCAAACAGATTTCATCTTCAAGAGAAAGAGTACAAGGGTCACAGAGACAGAGACACGGGGGAGCGCGAGTGGGCGGCGGCCGGGCCGCTCTGTCGCGGGGGGTCTCTGAGGACACGCGGTCGTACTGAGACCGCCAGGTTGCTGAGGAAGTTGCGTTGATGCAGTCTTTGTTGGTTCTGTTTTCTTTTGGAGAGAAGCAGTAGCAGCAGTGGCTCCCAGGGCCCCGGGGGGCTGGGGCCGGGCGGGGCCAGAGGGCTCAGCATCCGTGGGCCCCGGCCGGGTTGGGGACCCTTGGACAGGGGGCGGGAACGGGTCAGCGGGGTGCTGCGTCCAGGGGCCCAGGCGGGCCAGGCGAGCCGGGGCGGGAGGGCCCCGCAGAGCTGGCCTCGCTGGGGCTGGTGGCGCCTGTGGGCAGGCAGGGGCCCAGGCTGGCTGTGGCATCGGGTGGTGCGGGCCCCGGGTCGGCCACGGCGGCCGAGGGGCCCTGCAGGCTCTGGCCACACACGTGGTGGTGCTTCTCCCAGTCCCGGTGCTGGCAGAAGGCGCCACAGTAGCGCGCCGCGTTGCAGCCACTGCACGTCTCACTAGCCTTGCGCCCGCAGTTCCAGCAGCTCTGGGGGGGGGGGAGGGACATGGTCAGGGGGTGGCTACGGGGCGGACGCTGGGCCCCATCTACCCAGGTGCCTGGCCCGGCCGACGGGGGCGGCACACACCCAAACACACACACTTGGTCCGGCCACGGCATCACAGAGCGAGAAGCGGACGGCCCTGACCAGTGACTCGCCACAGCTCGTGGGTGGCCTTCAGCGGCCACAGCCATGACCACGGCCACCTGGCTAGGTCGTTCTGGGGCTCAGGCTTGCACTACCGGGGCACACAATTCCAGCCAGCTGCGGTCAGGTTCACGTGGCATTTACAGGACTGCGGGTCCTCAGGAGGTAAGGCAGTCACACCCTGTCCTCTCTTCCAGGAAGCCCTCCCAGGTTAGCTGAGCTCCAACCCCAGAACATGGTGCCCTGGCTGGGTAAAGACTGCCAGGCTCCAGTGTGGGGTGCACGGCCAGGCCTGCCTCAGGCCATTGGGCATCTGCTCCCTTTCTGTGGGATGAGCAGCAACTGCAGCCGTGCACGTGAGCAAAAGGTGGGCGGGGGTACCAGCAGGGACCCGAGCCGGCAGCCAGGCCGAGGGTCGGGGAGCCCATGACTGCCCCAGGAGGAAGGCCCAGTGTCTAGTCGGCCCCCAGAGCCTCTTGGGCCTCCACGCTTGTTCCGCTCGGCCGCACCGTCCTTACTCGGCCCGGTGTGCCGCTGCCTCCGTCCTCACCTCCCCTTCCTCGCGGGGGCACTGCTCCCCCAGGTCCCTGCCTGGCTTGCTCTCACCTCCTCCAGGACTCTGCTCACACGTCCCTGCCCCGGTCCTGAGCGGTCCTCCTGCTCTACCCCTGCTCCTCCCGAGCTCGGTGTCTGCGGAAGCAGCCGCTGCAGCCACACGAGTTGACCCTTGGGGCCCGTCCACGCACACACACACACCAGGGCTCTGGAGGTGTGTCCCTTCCAAAGGGCAGTTCCAGGAGCCCCCTGGACAAGCTGTCTCCCTTCCCCTGACTCCTCTGACACGAGAGCCCTTTCTGGACGAGGATGAGAGGCACCCCGGCCCTTGCTCTGCTGGACCCCGCCCAGCCCCTGATGCCCGGGCACAAGCAGGATGATGGTGCTCACGCCCCTGCTGGGCACACACGTGGGCGGCAGCCGGGGAGGCGCTCCGTGTGCACCTGCGGTCTCCACTTGCCTGGCGCCCCTGCTGTCACCGGTTAGCTGGAGCAGGGGCGTCGGCCGGCCTAGGTTTGAATCCTGGCCCACGAGGCCTCGGGCGTGGCCTAGAGCAAGCCACCTAGCCCTGGAGCCCTCAGTGTCCGCATCCGCGCGATGGTGAGCCCCAGCTGCCCAAGGTCCTGAGGCTGGGAGGTGACACGGTGCGGGTTCGGGGCCTGGACCTGGAGGCTGGGGCCGGGGTGGGGGGCCGGCGGGCAGCCGTACCTCGCTGGAGTCCTCCTGCTGGTTGACGACGGTCAGGGCGTCCTCCGAAGCCTGCCGCCGGGCTTCGGCCAAGGCGCGCTCCATCTTGGCGCGCTCCGTGCTGATGAGCTCGTGGGCCTTCCGCTCCGCGTCCGACACGGCTTTCTGCAGCTCGGACACGGCCTGCCGCTTTACTTCATTCACTGCCTCCTCTGCAAACGACACGCAGGCTGTCCACACGCCGCCAGGCCCCGCCGGGCCTCCTTGCGTTGTGTGCACCTGCGACCGGCACGCGTATGGCAGACTGGTGTGGGGGCGTCTCCCAAGCCTGGCCCTTCGCTGCTGTTCCCAAACCTCAGAGTGTGGTGGCACTGCCCTGGGGGGCGTGGCCAAGCCCACCCTGACGTGGACCCCATGGGCATGAGAGAATGAACCCTGGAACCTCGGAACCCACGAGTTCCAAGTGACGCTGATGCTGCTGGTGCCGGCACCCACCTGGAGAACCAGAGCTATACGGGTCTGCCCCCTGGATGGTCTGCTTCTCCTGGGCTGGGCTGAAGCAGTCCAGGGTCGCCCCCTCTAGGGCTCTGCCTTGCTGTCACTCCGGAAGGCCTCTGTCACCCACCCATGCTGCCTCCGGCTTGCTCCCGCCTGAAGACAAGCCCGCCTGGAGCTGCGGCATGAGCTCAGCTGTCTGGCTGAGCCCAGAGCGTCTGTTTGGGTTTCACGGTGCCTCCAGCCCTGGCAACCACCCACGGCCGCTCAGGCCTGCCTCAGTTTACCTGGCAGTGCTCTTCCTGCAGTGGTGTGCGGGGATGTGGGCAGGGATGAGCAGGGCTCAAGGAGCCTTCCGTGCGAGCCTTTGCACGCCGGGTGTGGTGGGCTGCCAGCGGAGCTTGCGAGAGCTGCCTGCCCCCAGGTCACCCCAGGAGTGCCGTGCAGCTGTCGCCAAGGGTCTCCCGAGGGCAGATGGAGGCAGAGGGGACAGGCCAAGGGACATGAGGACCCCCTCCCATTGTCCAGGCCTGGGCCTCCCCCATCTTGCTCCAGGCAGCTGCTACCCGTCTGTGGCCTCTCGGTCTCTGAGTCTGGGGAGGGGACACTCCCCTCCCTCCACTCTCAAGATTCTGAGACTTTCTCCCTCTGCCTTACACTTCCCCTTGAATCCATCCATGAACCAAAGCATCTCAGGGACCCTGCTGCTTTTCTCCCCAGGCGTCCCCCAAGGGAGCCCCTGCCCCCCTCTTTTTTTCTCAAGCTGCCCACTGGCTCCTACTTCTGCCCGGCCCTCCCCATAGTGTGTCCCCATGTGCAGGGAGTGTCCCTGGCATGGGACTCTGTGCCACACCCAGAAGGCTGCAGGCACCCCAGCTCTTTGTCTCCCCTACGTGTGTCTGTGCACATGCGTGTGTGTGCAAGACCCAGGGACCCAGTCGGTTCTGCTGAGTGGCACTCGTTTGCCTGAAGAAGGCAGGTGGCCACCGTCCTACACTGAATACTAAGTGCGCCCTGAGCCTTCCCGCATGGTCTGCAGAGCCCTGTGCGCCCCACGCTGATGGAAGCCCTTGAGGATGGTAGGGCACAGAGGGCACGCTGGGTGCCCCCACCCCCCGCCCCCACCCGCACTCACCAGCCTTCCTCCATATCTCCTCGGGCATGTAGCCAGAGAGGCTCCGAGGCATGAACTCCCGGTGGGCGTCTGCAACACAGGGACGCGAGTGTCACACACCGAACGGGCCACACCCGGCCGGGTAAGGGGAACACAGTGTGTGTCCCTGCAGGGGGTCTCCTGGCACGCCCCTGGGTCGGAACCCTGTATCCGCTGCAGGGGGGGGCAGGGCACTGCCAGGAAGGAGGACACTCTGGGGCCCCTTGGCCTCGGCTGGGACCTGGGCCTCGCTCGGTTTCCGCGGTCACCTTCCCTGAGTCAGGGCTTCCGGGGCTTTGGGCCGTATCCTTATACCGTAGTGCCAGAATGGGGGTGCCGGTCCTCGACGCCCCTGCCGTGCACCCCTGCCCCCCGTGGTGTCCCCTCGCACGCACCTAGCGGAGACCCCTGTGCACCCGGGGAGCTGTTGAGGGCCCGGGCGGGGGCAGGGGCGGGGCCCTTCTTGGCATCCTCGCTGTCACTGCAGCGGCGGACCCAGTGGCTGAGCTCCTCCCGGTCGGCTTCTTGGCACTGGCGCAGCACCGTGAGCGAGCGCCGTGTCTTCTCGGCCATGTCCATGATGCAGTTCAGAAGCTGTGGGCGGGCAGGCGGGGGCGGGGAGCGTGTGGGGCTGGGGGGGCTGCTCTGTGGGGGACGGCCACGGAACTTCTCCTACGCCCTGGGCCTGGGCCAGCCCGCCGGCCACGAGGGCCCGCCCCAGTGCGCTCCGGGCCACGGTGTGAAAACTGGCCCCTGCGGCCTGGAAAGGCGCCGGTCTGGGGTGGGGGTGGCGGCCGGACTCTCCGTCTGAGCCGCTCTTTCAACGCTCCAGGCTGTGCTCTGCCGGGGGAGAGCAGATGGGCCAGAGCTGCTCTGGGGACCACACCTGCCTGGGCTCCCTTCCCACAAAGGAAGCAGGGGAGGGATGACCCTGAACACAGTGTGGAAGGGGTCCCAACCCCCCAAGCCCCCTTTCTCCCAGAGGCAGAGGTGCTCCGCAGGGGCGGAGATGCGAAGGTTCTGAGGGGCTGACCGGCCCAGGCAGGTAGGCGCATAGCAAAGCGGGGCCCACAGGGAGCCTGTCCCCTCCGCAGCCCCGGGGCCCCACGGGCTGGGCGGAGCCCCAGGAGTCTCCGGGTGCTGGGCCTGGACACTCACGTTGTTGACATGCTTCCACTCCTCCGCCCACTCCCGCTCCGTGAGCCTGTGGTCGATCACCTCCTCCTGCCGGGACCCCTGCGCCGCTATAGGGTGCGCAGACGCTCAGTCCAGACCCCCGTCCCAGGCCCCCCTGTCCCGCAGACCCCGCCCCTCATGCCCGGCAGTGGTCTTTCCTGTGTCCCTTCCCCAGCCCCATGCCCTCCAGGCCCCGCCCTGTGCTCCCAAGCTCCGCCCCTCACCCCAGGATCTGTCCTTGGGCTTGGCTTTGCCGGCCTAAAGGAAGTGGAGAGGGTGAGGAGGAGGACCCTGAACATGGACCCTCTGTCCACTGCCTTTGCGGGGAGGTCAAGAACAGGTCTGGCCTCTACTCCGTGTTTGGGAGGAAGAGACGGGTCCCCATCCCTCAGTCCAGGCTGGGCCACCCCTCCCCCACCTCCCTGTATCTCCCTTTCCCTGCTGCTGCTGCCCATGAAGCTGCCTCAGGCCCCACTTTGATGGCCTTGTCCCTCCTCCAAACTGTCAGGGGTCACTGGCCGGTGCCCGGCTCCAGCCCGGCTTCAGCCCACGCTGCCCTACACCCTGGCAGCCAGCTGGACTCCTACACACCCCTTAAAGCCCAGGTCCCAGACCCCCTCCTCAACAGCCCTGAGCCCTTGAGAATTCATTCAGCCCCACAGGGATCTGCATGCGAAATAGTCCTGGCTGCTGCCCACTTCATTCTGTCCTGGGCAGGGCTGCTGAGTCTCCCGGGTGAAAGTCCAGTGGGACAAGAGGCTGGGCTCTGGCCCATCCGCTGGGTCCAAGGGGGCCCCCTGGGAGACAGGGAGGTCTGGGAAACACTTGTTCTCCACAGGCCCCCAGGCCCCTTCTCCTCAGCGCTCCGTGTGCATTTCCCTGCCCTGCTGACCTTTCAGGGTGTGAGAAGGGTCTCCAGAGGGTCACGGGCGGGGAGGGCCCCCCAAGGTGGCTTCTACCGTCGCTCCCATCCGACAGACGAGAACACCGAGGCTGGCTCGGGGGGTGTTACTGCCAAGGTCCCCCAAGGTCAGCCCGAGCCTCCAGTGTGCCCTCAGCTACTGGCCGGCAGAGCTCCAGCGACTGAGACAACGGAGTGTCCTCCCTGCCTCCCAGCGGCGGTGAGACACAGCCCTGAACCGACGCAGCAGTGCCTGCCTGTCCTCGTGCTCTTCCTGACAGCTCAGAGGCTCTGGGCCGCACGCTGCTTTGGGTGCTCCCATCTCGGGGCCCCGAGCCTACGCCCGGTAACCCTGGGCTGGCCGGGGCTGCCCGGCCTGGGCTCTCACTGTTTAGGCCTTTTCCAGTCCCTGAGGGTCCTCTAGCCTCCCCAAACCTGAAATGCCTCTTCAAAGTGCTGCGGGAATGAGACTGAGAGGTGGCGGCCCCAGCCTGCCGTCCACCACCCGGCCCTGCCACCCGCGGAACCAGGGCCTGTGCCCACACCCCAACCAAAATAGTGGCTGAGATGTGCCTGACAGCTGGAGTTTATTTTTGCATTAGCAGAAGCGGGCGGGAATTAGCACCTGCCCGACCGGCTGCAGGGAGCCAGACGCTGTCACCTGCTGCCTGGGCCCAGGCCCTGGAAGCTTCCGCAGGGTGGGGGTGGGGAGATGGCCTTGTACAGGGCGAGGCCTCCGCTGACCCTGCCTCTGGGCCCCCCAAGGGCGCCCTGGGACTCTCTGGGGCAGCTGTTTCCAGGCTGTTCCCCAGGATGCTGGGGGCCCTGGGGTGTGGGCTGGTTCTCTTCATCTCTTAGTCCTCAACACAGAGGGGGTCAGAAGGTCAGGCAGGTAGGACGAGAAGGCTTTGGGCACATGCACTGGGTTTTCTGGGTCTCCTCATCTGTGATGTGGGCCTGCCCTCCGGTCAGTACCAGGCCTTCCCCTGTGCCAGGCCCCGTGTGAGGTCTCCTCACGCCGCCCGGAGGGGTGGGACGCCTGCAGGCTGACAGAGGAGGAGACTGAGCCTGGGACGTCAGAGGACGCATGGGAGGCTGCAGCGTGGGAGCTGGTGCCTCTCCGAGGCTGCCTCTGTCCCCCGAGAGCCAGACTCCTGCACGTCCCTCCCTCACGCACTGGGATCTGGTATGTGGGCCTCACTCTCCCACTCAGAGAGCTGGACACGCCCTGTGTCCTCAGTGGTACTCTTAGAGGGCTCGGGAGTCTTAGGGGGGCATTTGCTTTCTCTCGGGATCCTGGGCCCAGAGTGTGGGAGTCCCTGGAAGCGGGCTCACACGCCCAGCCTGCCTAACAGGGTCTCCTGCTGGCTGGCCGGGACCCCAGCCTCCTGCTGACCCTTGGGACCCACAACCCCCAGGCAGCACATCCTGTGTGTGGACCTGGCCAGCGGCCAACGCCCTTCTAGGTTCCCATAGAGGGAATGCCTGGTCCCAGGGGACAGGCAGCTCTGCAACCACACCCCTTCCCGCCAGGGGAGGGAGGCCCCCCCCATCCATCAGGGATGTCAGACCCCCAAGACAGAGGGCTGGGAAAGATGGCCCTCGCTAAGGCCAGGGGCACGCCCCACTCCAATCCTCCCCCACACCTGTTTCCTCAGCATCCTTCCTGGACAGACAAGGCCCAGAAGCATCTGCCTATCTCTCACCTCGGCTCTGTGTCACTCCCAGCCCGTGCAGGCCCACATGGGCCACCCGTGCTCCGCTCACCGAGCTGCCGATGGCGCTCCCGCAGCTCCCGGGGGTCAGGGTGGCGGTAGGAGTCGCGGAAGTGGTGGGCCATGGCCATGTCCTCCAGGCGGTAGTGTGGGGGCGGCGTGGGGTGGGGCAGCCCGTTGCTAGGGCTGTAGCGCTGGGCGGGGCTCAGGGTGCACGGCCGTTTGCTGAGGTGGTCGGGGTGCAGCGGGTCACGGTCTGACCCATTGTCTTTGGTCCTGACCCAAAGAGCAGATGAGGTCACAGACCACGAACCGTGGACAGAAGCCCGGGCAGGAGGGGTGAAAGAGAGACAGGCACGGGCAGGGAGAAGGAGAAAGAGCCACAGGGCAGAGACAGATGCACAAGGAGAGAGACAAGGCCCAGCCCAGCCCCCCCACTTTCCCTCCTCCTATGGGGCTCGTGCCAGCTTCCACTGCCCACTGGTATCTGGGCTCCTGGGGCCGCGGTCAGGGAGCCTGAGCCTCTGCTGAGGGCCTCGGGAGACAGCCACGCGTTCTCCAGTGGCCAGACAAGCGTCTGGCATTGTGGCCCCCACTGAGGGCCAGCCCAGCCACCTGGAGACCTCAGGTGCCTGGATTCTCATGTCCACCTGCAGCCCAAAGCGAAGAGCCAGGCCGTTCCCGGCACACGGACTCCCTCCTGAACACTCCCTTGTCCTCCAAGGGGCCCCCCGAGTCGCTGCGTTGCCAAGCCCCGGACCCCATCCCTCTGCGGTCTCCCCGGACCCCGTCCCTCTGCGGCCTCCCCCCTCAGCGCCCCCTACCTGTCAGGGGTCCTCCTCTTGCCATGCTCGTTGGCATCCAGCAGGAGCTCTGAGGAGTCGACGGGGGAGGAGGCATTGGCGTCCAGCAGGAGCTGCTCGTGCTGGGCCAGGTACTGGGCGGGGGTCTGCTTGGCGAGGCGGGCACAGTGCACGAGTTCCCTCTGCAGCAAGGGCAGGTTTGCCTGCGGCAGGGAGAGAGGGCGGCGGTCACTGCTGACAAGGGCCAAGGCCCAAGTGTGCTCTGACGCACAGTCGGGAGGCTGGCGGCCAGCCCTGCTCTGGGACCTCGGGCACACTGCACGAGCTCTCTGGGGTTCCTCCAGTACAGTCTGGGAATGGGGGTGGGCACAGTGATCTGAGGTGCAGTGGGGGCCCGAGCCCAGATCCTGGACCCCCAGGCTCGGGTTTTCCCGCTTCGGCGAGTTTCCTCCCCTGGGGGCATCCGGAGAAGGTGAGGAAGGATTCATAAGCAGGGCTCTGCCTTCACCCGCGGGGGCACTAGTCAGCTGCTGTGTGGAGGGGAGAGCTGAGGCTCAGGGAGGGCAAGGGGGCAGCCCCCCCACAGCAGACCATGAAAGGAGGAGCTGGGAGCAGTGCCCTGCGTGTGTGCTCCAGACCCCGAGGCGCAGCCCTGGCTCTCCCACCTCCTGCGGTGCCCTGCCCAGCCCAGCCCCGAGCAGCCTGGAACCCAGAGCACACGTGGGACCGTGCCCACCCCACTTGCACCATCACACGCGTTCCCTCCCGCGGTCCTTACAAACACCCATGGACACACATGACCACTTGGTTCCACTCCTGTGGGTGAGGAGAGCACAGCCCACATCCAGGGTGGGACACAGGACCCAGGGGCAGTCCCAGCCACTGTGGCCCCAGGCCTGCTCCCACCCCCCCGCCCGGCGTGGGCTGCTGGGCTGCTGGGCTGCACGTGGGCTCCTCCAACGGCACGGCGGGGGTCAGGGGACAGGCCGGATGGGGGCCCAGAGGCAGGCTGCGTGGGAGAGCCGGCAGCTCCGAGTGTTTGCAAATACACAGGATCCCCCAGCTTTCCCGTGGCATCGCAGAGCGGCCGCTGCCTCCTGGCTCTCCAGCCCCCCGTGGGCGCGTCCTACCAGACCCGATCGGACAGCCGGCGTGGGTTTGTCAAGCAGAGCCGGCCGCTAGGCCTGTTTTCCATTTGGAGAGCTGAACGGGGGCCAGCCCGCCATCTGTCGAACACGTTAGGAGCATGAGCTGGGAAAGGAGGTCCCGGGAGGTCTGAAGACGCCAAACATCCTTCTCTCCCTTCCCCACCCCCCATGGCCTCCCCTCAGCTGGCTCAGCAGGGTGGGGACTGCTGGGGTACCGGCTGGCCGGCTGGTCGCTGTTCAGGCCGGGGAAACATCTGGATTCCTGGCTGGCCGGGGCCAGCTGGGAGCCGGGGCCGAGGGTGGAGGGCTGGCCGGGTGGGGCAGCATCTCCCAGCTTCTGGGAAGCCTTACTACATAGGCCTGCACCGTGTCAGGCTGAAAAGAGGGTTCAGGGGTCTCAGGGTCCTTGGTGGGGGTGGGGAAAGGGGAGCCACAGGCCAGAAGAATGAGGGTGGGCTGTGGGGCAGCTGGTCTCACACATGCCTCTGGGGCAGTCATCCCCATTGTTTTCCCAGGGCCCCGTTCACAGGGGAGACCCAGCCACCGATGTTGACAGGCCGAGCTGGTCACCAGAGCCCCGTGAACACCAACACTGCAGGAAGGCCCTGAACCCCCTTCTTCACAGACGGGAACTCAGGCCAAAAGGAAATCAACGTTTGCATGGACATGTGCGATTGTGGGCTTGGCTGAGCTGGGACCCCGTCTCACGAGGGCTTGTGTTGCTTCTGTGGCCTGTCCAGGGCCTTCCCTGATGCCCATGTAGCTGGGGTGCTGCGGGCCCTGTGGTCAGGCCACCCTGCCTCTGCCCTTGGACCCTGGGTGAGAGCTGCCACTCGTGTCTCACTTGCAGCGGGGCCGTGCGAAGCTCCCTGTCCTCCCAGCCTCATGCACTCCTGCCCCATTGAGGGTTACTGTGGGGGCGGCCCGAGACCCCAGCTCTGGGCTCTGAGCCAGGCCTGAGACAGTTCCTGCCTCTTTGGCAGGCGATAAGGCCCCTGTGACAGCTCGTGCCCCACGGTGGGCCTGGTGGGTGGTGAATCTTTGGGAAGGGGCTCCCCACCTCCAGCCCAGGTCCCAGACAGGAAACCAGGGTTGTGCACCCCTGCAGCACTGTGTTCTCAAGTGGCTGGGGCTTCCACCGGAGTGGCGTGGGGGCAGGACCTCGGGGGCTCGTCCTGCCGACGGAGCTGCCTACACCCTGGAGCTCCAGGTGAGGGAGACAGACTTCGTGTCCTTAACCGTGTGCTGGCCCTGAGCCCCCCGCCCCGGGGGGGCGGGACGCAGGCACAGAGCGTGGCTGCCTGGTGACCACGAGAGCAGTCTCGGTGTGAAAGCCCCGGGAGCCCTTCGAGGGCACCGTGGCCAGAGGGCACCGTCACAGGCAGTGCTGGGTCCTGGTGTGACCCGTCTGGCGCCACATTGAGGGGCGTTTGGGAGGACCTTGTGTGGGGCAGCGGGGCTGGGGGCGGGGGGCGGAGGCCTGGCTGGGCCCAGAGCAGGGGCCCCCGGATGTGCCCTGCTCCTCCAGCAAACGAGGGCAGCTGAACGGACTGTGACATCTGCTGTAAATATTTGATCTGACGGAATAAGCAGGCGCACTGTGTCCCCAAAGATGGGGAGCGTGGAGTCAGCAGCAAGTGGCAGGAGGGGAGGGCAGGGCAGGGCTCCTGATGAATAGTGAATGACTGCCAGATGGGCCCAAATGTTGGCACTGCCGCAGGCGTCCCGGCTCAGGGTGTGAGCACAGCAGGGTGTGGGCGGGAGGGCAGGAAGCAGGGAGGAGAGGACGGATGTGGGGTGGGACCCAGGGTCCCCTTGACAGGGACTGCAGGGACCGCGGTGCCAGCCCAGGGCAGGCCCTGCAAAGGCCCGGGTTTGGTGTCTGATGGCCCCGGGGCGTCCCAACTGCAGCTCTCTACAGTGGGGACCTGCGAGCCAGGAACGGTGGGAGTTCCTGTGCCGTCCCCTCACAGGGCTGCGGTGGGGGGCAGGGGTCAGCAGGGGTGCTGGGAAGAGCTTTCTAAGCAGGCCTCGTCCACAGACATTGACGTGCCCAGATGAGGACGCCCCACATGAAGCGAGCATCTGCTGCCTTCCCAATGGCGAGGGCCACTTCGGTGGCACGTTTGCAGAAACCAAGTCCGAGGGGCTGAGCTAGCTTGGCCCAGGCTGACAGCAGCGGCTCAGGGGCGGGGCTCAAGGGCAGGAGCATCTGCCTTCGTCTGTCCTCAAGACCCTGGAAGGCAGCCCTGGCCAGGGCCCGCCGAGCTGGTGAGCAGGGCCTGGGGAGACGGCAGCGCCTAAGTGAGCTCTGTGATCACCAGAGGGGCTCAGAAGTAAAGCGTCACAGGGTCACATGCATTTGGGAAGCATTTCGCCTCTGCCCTCTCCAGACACACGAGACCCTCCTGGTGGAGGGAAGGCCCTGAGAAGTCCCGCAAGGAGAAAAGGGCCCCGCGGGCTGTAGAACTATGCTTGTCCTACTTTGTATGCACACAGCCACCCGGCCCCTTGTCACAAGGCAGATTCCGACTCTGGGGCTCTGGGCTGGGGCCCAGGAAGCTACATGGCTCACAGCCCTCGCATTACTGCTGCAGTCGGCCCGCCACTACCCTTCCCTGCGCCGAGGCCCTGGTCCGCTGATGGCCCTCCATGTCTGGCCACACAGCCCTCGTTCTCTCTGATACCACCCATCTGTCCGTTGGCCTGTCCCTCCATCTGTCCCTGCCGCTCTCCCCTCCATCTGCTCCAGCCTCACACCAAACACAGGAGACACATTCCTGCCTCGGGCCTCCAGGCATGTAGTCCCTGCTGCTCTGTCCCCTGTGGCTCACCTGCCTCCCTCCCTCATCCTCCTCACCCCTGCTACCTGTAGCCCTGGCTGGCTGGCTGAGCTCCCTCACACCACGTCCCCAGGCCTCCTGCGGGCCACTGGGCGCACAGCAGGTGCTGGGGGAGGAGGGATGCATTTGGCCAAGGCGGTGGGACCCAGCTGGGGGCAGGGTCTCGGAGCCCTGGGACTGGAGGGAGCTGGTCTGCAGCCGCAACGAGGAGTCGGCCCTGGCTGGTCAGCACTGTTCCCACACAGGAACCCGTGGGGTGGGCCGAGCGTGGTGCCTGGTCATGGCAGGCGGGAACAGACATGGGACGGCATGGGGGCCCCGCCGCTGGGGACGGGGACGCGGGCTCACCTTCAGGAAGGGGATGACGAAGGGACGCAGAGGGAAGTTGGTGGCCTCCTGAAGCTTGGAATGGAACTCCTCGATGGTGAGCGTGGAGTTCTGGGCGAGGAGACACGGCCACAGTCAGCCTGAGCCCCGCGGCACGGCCCCACAGCCCACCGGCCCTGCCGGCCGCCCCACTCACCACGAGCCCCAGCACCAGCGTGCGCACGCGCTCCCCGATCTCTGGGGAGATGTCGGTGCCAAACTGCTGCAGGGTGGTGAGGAAACGCTTCAGCTTGCTGAGCTGCCGCGCCCCGCAGGCTGGGGGCAGGCGCTGCGTAGACAGCGAGGCCGTGGACGAGGTGGCCGGGCCATTGCTGAAGCCGCTGGGCGTGGACGGCGCCCCGTTGACGGCTGTGGGCGAGTGACCGCCGTTCATCACTGTGGGAGGGAGAGGTGGGCTGAAGACGACGGCACAGGGAGCCGCGGGGCTGGAGCCCGCAGCGGGGGCATGGGGGCACTGGACGCCCCGCACGGATGGGCAAACGGGCCCAGGTCAGCAGCGGGTGGGGCTGGGCAGGCGTGGTCCCCTGACTGCACCAGGCCTCTGGCCTTGCCCTGGGCTGCATGGCCAGGCCCTCCACAGCCGGGGGCACGCCACACCAGGACCCCTGCCAGGCTGCTCAGGGGTCCGCTGGGAGCCGGCAGAGGGGCTTCTCCTCCACGAGGGACCTGTAGACCTCTATCCCCATTCAGGGGATCGGGGCTCACCGTTCCAGAAAGGCCATGACCCTCACCTCGGCCATGACAGCCCCGAGTGGTGCCCCATGGCCTCCACAGGCCCCATCACTTGTGCTGACGGGGCTTGTGGGGGCACAGAGGGGCCTGGACACCCTGCATGGGTAGGGCTGGATCCTGGCCGGAGGCTCCTGGTGGGCTGCTGTCTGGGGCTGCTACACCCCAGAAGTGAATGCACGGGAGCCCCAGGCTGTGCAGGGAGGACAGGCAGGCGCCTGTGCGGACCGGAGGCCGCTGTGATGAGCACACTGCCAGGGTCAGGGGAGTGGCACCGGTGGTCCCCATGGCCCCCACACTGGGGGCAGTGTTCCAGGATGGCGGACACCCGGGGTCACTGTGCCATGTTCTGGGACAAGACCTCACTCCTCAGCTTTGAGGGACAGAGGGAAAGGCTGAGCCTGAGCCCGGCCTGCACCCCAATCCCCTGGCCTCAGGAGTCTGACCTCAATGACCAGGGTCTGCAGAGATGGCAGAGAGCATGGGCTGCTGGGGCCTGTGGTGACAGTGGCCGGGGCTCCAGATGTGGGAGGGGGGCTGACACGTCTGGGTTCCTGAGGCTTGTCTGATACGCCCAGCGGTCACTCACACCTTGCCACCTCTGCCAGCTGCCCAGGCAACTGCTCAGGGTGGCCCCCGTGCTCCTGCACTGAGCCCCCGGCACGCTCACTGGCCCATTCCTCTGGTGGCACCTGATCCCCGTACCCTGACACGTACCCTCTGTTCCCCACCCCTGTCCCCGCCTCAGCATCCTTGCACGCTCTCCCATGCACACGCACTTGTGTCTGTACACAGGTGCATGTGTGCCCTACACGCAGACATACCCATGTCCTCTCAGGCCCACATGAACACACAGACATGTGCATACAAGTGGACACGGATGCTCATGCACACGCGCACACACGTAGGCACACACATGTATGCATGGACACACACATGGACACATGCACACACGTCACACGTATACTAACACATGCACACGCGCACACGCACACAGCCCCACACGCGAGTGCAAGAGCACGTATGTGCCCAGCAGAGGACCCTGTGCGCAGGCCCCTGTGCCCCCTCGTGCAGCTGCCGTCCTCGGGGCCCCACCCCGCCTGCCCTTCCCGCTGGGCTGCGCACGAAGCCCGAGCCGGGGAGTGGTGGGGGGCAGCTCAAGGCTGCTGCTCCCTCGGGACAGACTGTCTCAGGGCTCTGGCCCCTCCAGGGACCTCTGGCTGAGGCCCAGCAGCCGGCAAGCATGTGATAGCGGGCAGGAGCTCCTTTCTGGGGGCCGGGGTGGGGATGCCGCCAGGGTCTGCTCTCCGTGAGGCGGCTTCTCCTGAGTGCCCGGCACGTACGCCGGCCGGGGCCATGGGGGTGGGGGTTCCGTTCCGGACCACGGCTGCCCTGCCCATCCTCACCGGGCCCGGGCAGTGTCCTCTGCAGATGCTGTCAGCCTCACCTGGCCTGGAGGCACGGGCCCACACGCCCGCCACCTCCCCGGGCCTCAGCCTTCCCCCAGCTGTGGCTTTCCCGGGTCCACGTCACCCCCTCTACCTGCCCTGCAGGCCTGGGGGACACGGCTCCCCTTGAGTCCGGCCCAGGACTGCACTCCCCCCCCATGCCCATGCCCGTCCCCCCAAGCCCACTAGCCCTCTGTTAACCCGGAGGCTGCTGTCAGCGGGCTCGGCCCCACAGATGCTGCCCGCACTTCCCTCCATGCCGGCCTCCTCCCCTAGACCCCCTGGCCAGAGACACCTGCAAACGTCAGTCCGTGAGTCCCTGAGTGGGCCAGGAGGTACCCAGTCCACAGGTGGCCATGACCACGCATACTCCATGCACTTCCCCAGAACGCCTGCCCCCCCGCGGGTTGACCCCCGCACACCATAGGCCCTCAGCGGCAGACAGACCCGGCCTTGCCCTTGTGGCTGGGAGGGGGCATCCTGCCCGCGGCCTCACCTCTGCCTGGGAGGTGCGAGTGGGGGGCCTGGACTCCATTTCTTCATTTGCAAGTGGCCCTTGGCCTGAACTGGAGGATGGGTGTTGGTCCCCTTCTGCTCCACGGTTCCCTGGATTATGGCCTCGGCTGCCCTTCTACCACCGGGCGGAGCTGGAAGGCTTGGCCCTGACGGCTCCCCTGTCGGGGCCACTCGTCAATAACGGGCCTCTACTCAGCAGCAGTTTGGAAGGCACGGCCCGGCTGGCGCGCCGCCTCCTGTCCCCACACGGGGCCTGCGCGCTCGCGTCAGCCATCCCCTCCCCAGCAGGCACCCACAGTCGGAGCCCCTTCACACCCTGGTCTGAATGGCCTCAGGGGCATCTTCCGGGGCCTCGAGGGGACACGCCAGCCCCAGAGCTTCCCCTCATTTGCGGCTTCCCTCGCTCTGCAATGGACAGTGAACGCCGGACATAGGCAGGAAGCGTTCCCACCCTCACCCTCTCCGAGGTGCTGTCCGGAGGACCTTCTGGAAGAGCAGGGGACCCCACTGCTGGGCCCATTCTCTCTCTCCCATCAGCTCCAGCTGATGCCCTGGTCAAGAGTGATGACAGCCGCTGGCCGTCCCTGTGCCCAGGCCAGGAGAGGGCTATGCTGGCCCAGGGAGCTCACCGCTGCAGGGGCCCGATTCCTTGCAGCAGAGCTGGGCCATCACCCGGGGTCTGGAGCTTCCCGAGGCCTCTGAGACCAGCGGCTTTCTCTACCTCCTGGGCTCCCACGCGGCCCGGCCTGGACCTGACCTCCCTGCAGCTCTCTTACCAGGTTGCCCTCGGCGCCTGGGTCCTCCCGGTGGCCTGCTTGCCCTCGCTCGCCTGTGTTCCCTCCCGCGGGCTGCTGGGCAGTCTCAGCAACTTGCTAAAGAGACGCTGAAAATAACCCCCGGCCACAAGCGCTTTCATTCCCACAACAGGTGTGTTACTAAGTTAGACCGCACACGTGTCCCCGGCTGGGGTTTGGGGGCACACGCAAGCACCCCTGTGGCTCCCCCGGCCCTGGGGCCTGGGTGGGGGTCGCGCTGGGACATGGAACCCACAAGCAGCCCCTCCCGCCAGCCCCTCTCCCGTCAGCACCGTGGCTCCTGGGACACGCTGGGCCCCCTGAGGCTGGGCACAGCACACGACGATGGCAGCAAGGACAACAGCCTCGTGGGATGTAAACAATGCAGGACCGTTATGCCGCCTCCTGATCATAGCCCGGGGGCTCCACGGGGCCACCCTGGGCCAAGCAGTCCCCTGGCCTAGAGTAGGGCCTGACCTGAGCACGGCCCTTAAGTGTTTCCTGCCACGGGTGTCAGCAGGGTCCCACGACTACGGCAGAAACATACTGGCGACCAAGCGCCCAGCGTGTCCCAGGCCCCGTGTGAGACCAGCCGCATCTCACGGCTCCTTGTAATTGCCCGTGGCACTGGGTGCTGGGCTGACTACCGTTTCACAGGTGGAGAAGCAGGTGCAGTACCAGCTGCGGCTGGGGGGGCGGGGGGGCGGGGCTGAGCGACCAACCTGCTGTTGACAGGATCTCACAGATCCCTCAGGCTCTGGACCTGCCTTACTCTCCCTGTCCTGTGGCTGGGGAAAAGGGAGCCCAGAGAGCCCGCCCACCTGCCCAGTGCCACACAGCTCGTGAGTGCAGGGCTGTGGATGCGGGTCTGACTCGGGGCACTACGCTCTGCCCTCCTGGGCCTGCCCCTTCCCCCTCCTGTCTAAGGGAGGCAGGGCTCACGAACACAGCAGACGCAGTGATAATGGGGCGCAGGCTGTGGGGGGCACTGCTGTGGCCTTCCCAGAGCAGAGCGTGCTGGACAAGGACCTCCCGGGGGCCACAGTTTTTGTTATTTTACTTACAGAGACAGACCATAGACCATTTTAAGCAGCCATGAAAACGGCCATGGGGCAAGGACATCATGGGCCCGTCCTCTCGATCTGTAAGCAAAATAAGAAAAACACACTGTCAGGAAAGAGCAGGCCGGGGAGGTTCGGTGGGGGGGGCAAGGCAGCCTCCGAGGGCGCCCGTAGTCCGCCCCTCCCCTCTGCCTCTCCCTGCAGCTCTGGGGCTGGGACTCTGTCACCGCCTGGGGTCAGTCCATTCCCTTCTCTGGGGCTTACTTCCTCCACCGTGAAATAATGGGGTCGTACTGGGGGGTCTTAGGGCCGTTTCTCGTGGGACCTTCAGAGCTCAACCAGCACTGTGTCTTCTCCATTGGCATGGGTGGGACACTAGGCTCCTGAAAAGCTCTCTTCCTGGAAGATGCCCAGTGACCCTACTTGGACCGTCCTCAAGGGACCCGAAGCCCAAGCTGATAGGGCATGAGGTCTGTTGGCAGACAAGCCAGTTCGAAAACAAGGCCCAGGACTGAGCCACCGTGCAGGGGGAAACACCAGCAGGCAGAGATATGATCTGTCCCAGCTGGAGTTAGTGAGCACGATGTGCAGCAAGACGGGCTGGACCACTGCAGACAGGCACAGAGCCCCCTGTCACAGGGGGTAATCAAGGAAGGACGGGCCTCTGAGGGTATCCTGAGCCATCTCAGCCATCCTGACCACCACCACAGACATACCACAGCTTCCACTCCAGGATGAATTTGTGCCCAGACGGTCATCAGTCAAGGAAAACCACAGCCCTCAGGCCATGGCTCAAGGTCAGTCTGGTCGGCATGGCTCCCAGGCCCCGGCACAGCAGCCAGGGCCCTGGAGCAGTTAACCAGGGCTTTCAGGGAGTTCCATGGGTGAGGGCACAACACTGAGGCCCCTTGGAGGTGGCCAGGGGCCCAGAAGCACACCCCAGCAGCCCGGTGACATTCAAGTGCCAGCCACCAGCCTCTTGTGACCTCCATGCTCCAGATGGAGCCAGAAATGTGAACCCCATGGTGTTCTGGGGTGTGCGGGGGACAGAACGGCCGGGAGGGGACCCTGAGCTACACATAGGACCCACCCCTGTCCCCCATCTGGAACATCTGGTTCCCAGACCAGTGCTTTTGGGAACATGGGTCCTGGACCAAGAAGGAAAGTAGGCCGAGGGCGACGTGCCTTTCATACTCGGGCAACCGGCTCCCAGCCCTCGGTCATGCTGGCAGACAGCCCGCTGCCTTCTCTGCCGGGAACCGGACACTGGAGGATGGCGTCGTCATTTTAGGTGGAGGGCCCATGGCCTTGTGTCTTGGGAGCTCCTAGTGGCGGTTAAAGCCAGCTTCCTACAGACAAGGGGCCAAGCCTGGCCTTGAACTTAGGTTGCCTGACCACTGAAAGCAGCACCTTTCTCCAGATGTAGGCTGGGTCCAGCCAAGCCCCCAGGGACCCTGGCTGCCTGGCCTCAGATGACAGGGGAGGAAGGAGCTGGGCCCTGCCATGTGGCCTGGGCTCTGGGCAGACAGAGGGGTGTCTGAGGAAGCCATGCCCACCACCATGCTGAGGCACTCGAGGCTCCCTTCCCGGAGACAAGCTTTGCTTGGATTTTAAACGTGGGGGAGCATTCCCCAGGTGTGGGGCTTCCTGGCCTCTGGACGTGGGGGGCAAAGATGCCATGTGGATTCTCTCCACTGCCCACCAGACATGGTTAGGACACACTGCTAAGCCCCTTGTCTTGGGGGGCACGGGATACCATACCCCCATCGGCCAATTCCCCCATCGGCCCAAGGCTAACATCTCCTTCCCAAACACTCAGGACCCCAAAGTCATGGAGTCACTGAATTTTCTGGCTCGAAGGAACAGGTCCGCAGTGGTGTTTGTGGACTGTGGACGGCTTCCCCGTGAGGCCGTGTGTGCCCCGAGGCTGAGCCCAGATCAGCCCTAGGCCAGAGAGATGCTGGCCTGCCCCGACGTCCCTGGCAGCACAGGCTCCACCTGACCCCAGGTCCTGAGCAACCCCCACCCCCATGGCAGCCGCAGAGCCCATCTGACGGACCCCGGCCCTCTAGAAAGCTGCTGTGCGCTAGTAGGGATCTCCCCGTCCCTCTCTGAGCTCCAAGTGTAACGGCTTTGACACAACAGTCCTTGGGTGAGAACTTGCATTAACTCACTTGTCCTCACAGGGGTTCCGTGAGGCAGGGACGGGGGTCAGCCCTGAGTCGTGGCTGAGGACTCCAGGTCCAGAGAGCTCTAGTCGCTTGCCCCAGGCCAAACAGCCACAGAGCAGGAGAACCAGGATGTGAACCTCCGGGCTCCCGTTGGGACCATCCCCCTCAAGGGCCCAGCGGTGGGCGTTTATGGGTTCAGGGTGGTGGTGCCCCCATCACCCGCCGGACAAGCCTCACACAGCTCCAGGGGGCCTCTGCTCAGCCCACCCGGTGCCCCAGCCCTGGTCACTCACTTGTGTGTGGTGCGAAGGAGGGGAGCCGGGTGGCCCCCTGGGACGCGGCAGGCGGTGGGGGCAGCATGCTGGGCGGTGTGGAGCGAGGCTGCGTCTTCACCTCGGCCGGCGAGTCAGGCATCGTTACTGTCTCGTCCTTCCTGTCCACTGCGGGGGGCCGCGGCGGGGGAGAAAACGAGAGGCAGGGTGAGGCGGGCTGACGGGACGCGAGGCACCCACGCCGGGTGTGGGCTGGCCTTGCTGGTTCCCTGGGGGACGTCTGGCTCTGTGCACAGCCGGGCCCAACCCCAGGCCCCAGTGGGCAGCAGATAAGCGTCAGCTGTGCTCCCAGGTGGCTGACATCCCACCGCCTGGGCTCAGCGGGCGAGGGCGGCCGTTTCAGGTGGGCTGGAGGGTGGAGCTGGGAGAATCCGGGGGCAGTTGGAACGGGACTGGGGTCCTTCGGGGGCTGTTTTGTGGGGGGCTGGGGTGGACCCCCCTGCAGATCAGGGGGCGGGTGGCACCCCCACCCCGGCAGTGGCTAGCAGACACAGCCTCCGTCCACAGGCCCCGGAGGGCCTGAGCACAAGTGCTGGCCCCCCCACTGCTGTTTCTGACGCTGCAGGTCTGGGGGAGGCCCGAGCACCTGTACCCCTAACAAGCTCCCTGGTGCGGGGCTGCAGGTGGGTCCCCCCCTCTGGAGGAACCATGGCTCCCAGGGCCCTGACAGCTCTCAGGCGTCACGTCTCGGCGCGGTGGGGGGGTCCTTCCCAGGAAGGCCTGGGGGGCAGACCCTCTGCGGTGGCAAACCCTTATTGGAGCCCCTGGCAGCCTGGGTGATTCCTGGGCCCGACCGGGCCACAGACACAGTCAATTTCACATTGTTCCAGGCTTGGTCACTTGTATGTGGCCCACGGTGGGTCACGTGTCCCTGACGTTGTCAACATTCCCACGTGGTCCATGGTGGCTGTGGAGCCGCGCTGCACCAGGGCCTGGGGGGCCCTGAGCCCCGGGCCCCCACAAACAGGGCCTACAGGGAAAGGTCTCCGGGTGAAGCTGACCAGCCGTAGGAAGCCCGAGCCAGCAGCCAGCCATTTCCGCAGCTGGAGGACGGCAGGCCCTGGGCCTCCCTCTCTGTCTTGACTCGGGTCAGCCAGCACCCGGCCAGGGCGAAATACCACAGCAGGCTGGCTGGGACGTGGGGTGGCCCAGCGGCTCGAGGCCGTCAGGGTGGGGTCATCTGCCTGCTACAGAAGGACAGCCCGTGCTGCCCCAGGCACTGCCCCAAGTTCACCCTGCTAACACCGGAGGGTCTCTCCAGGGGCCAGGGCGGCCCATCTGTTAGCTGTCCCTGTGTTGACTACACCTCGCCTGTCCTCTGCGTCTCCCCGTTCTCTCCCAGGGGCCCCCGCAGGCCCAGGACGCACATGTGCAAATGGGGCGGCCAGCCTCCGTGGCTGGAGTTGAATCATGCCGACAGATGGCATTACTGCCCCCCCCCCACCGTACAGAGCGGAGATGCCCCTTGTCCACCCACCCAGCGGGCTCTGACAGCTCTCTGCGCTGCGGGCCCGAGGACTGGCCGTGAGGACGCCCCTCCCTGCTAGGCCCCCCGGGGCAGGGAAGCAGCCGGTCATTAGCAGCCCCCCGGGCCACGCCGCACCTGCTGTCCTCAGCTGCAGCCGCTGTCCTCCCTCCTGCCAGGCGCCCTGCCCCCCTGCAGCCCGCCTGTCAGGGAGCTGATGGCTGGGCACACGTGCACCGCAGCTGTGGGCGCCCGTCAACACCGGGCCTGGATGCATGGCCGGCCGCCAGCCCCTGGTGACAACCAAAGAAGGCAAACGCGGCCGGCCCCTGCGAGCCCTGGGCCAGCTTTGCAGGGTGCAGACGTGGCCCAGCCGGCCCTGGGAAGGACCGGGCACCCCAGGACAGCCAGTCCCCCAGGGCCGATCTGGGGCTGTGTGTTTCAGACACGTGGCCGGCCCTTCCCTGCTGGCGGCTTCCCCCGGACCGGCCGCTGAGGATGAACCGCTTGGAGAGGGCGAAGGGGACCTGACAGGTCCACTGCCCGCCCCTCCACAGCCGGCGGGGGGTGACCGCGGGCGCCGAGGGCCAACACAGCAGGGCCCTCTGAGATTCCGGTTGGTGGACACGCTCTGCCAAGGGCCGCCCGCTGAGCCCCAAGGAGGGAACCGCCAATGCCCACTGGCGCCCGTGACCTCCTTTGGCAGAAAGGGGAGGTGAGGCCGCCCGTTTCCTGAGCAGACACGCGTGCTCCCGGCCCCCCGACCGTCCCAGCTCCCGGTTCTGGCAGAGGCGCTGGGGGCTGGGGTTCCGCCGCCAGCCCTGGGTCCCAGGCACCGAGCGGTGCCGTGTCTGCTGCGGTCACTCAGCGGGGGCGGGCGCGCCTCCATGGGGGTCCGTGGGTCTGTGAGCCGCGTGTCCTCAGTGCACCCTGTTCTCCCAGAGGCGGCACTGGGTGGGGTGCGGACCAAGGCTGCAGGGGTAGAGTGGGGGTGGCGGCCCCACGTCCCAGGGGTATCGTGTGGGACCTCCAGAGTCCCTTGTGTCTTGGGTCGTGGCTCTGTGGCTCCCTGGCTGCGCCTCCCGGAGTCTTTCCCTGTGGAGGGGCAGCGACCTGGGCAGGCGCTCGAGGAACCTTGGCAGAGATTTCCGGAAGGACTGTGCACCCAGCCCCTGCTCTGGAGGCTGCCCTCAGCGCAGACCCCCCCAGAGAATGACGAAGGCCATCCAGAGAGGGCAGAGGTGGCCGGGCGGGCACAGGTGGACCCGCTGTGTGGGCAGGAGGGAGCCTCGAAAGCTTGCACAGCAGCCAGAGCGAGCTTTGGCCCGCACGTCCACGCCCCTGCTCCACACCCTCCAGCAGCTTCCACTGCGCCTGGAACGCTCCTTCCCTCTTGGCGGTTTGGCTCCGGCCTCATGTCCTCTGCTGAGGTGCCCCCCGCACTGGTGCCCCTCGCCCTTGGGGACGTCGGCCCTCTCTGGGGTGCCCCTGCCTCCTGATCTCCCTGTTTGCGGGGGCACGTGGGGCCGGGCGTCCAGAAGGCTGGGCTGTGCGCACATCGATGCAGGAGCGGGACGCAGGGCGGATGGAAGGCATCTCCCTGCTTTGGGGCTGCAGGGGGCTGGTGGGGGCGGAGGGGCTGGCCAGGCAGGGACAGCAGGGTGGGTCTACTCGGCGGGAGAAGGGTCCTTCCGTCAGAGGCTGAGTGCCAGGAGCTGGTGAGGGGGACAGTCCTGCTTCCTGCCAAAGCTGTGAGCGAGGATTGGCTCTGCTCCCTGGCAAGGCCAGACCCCGCCTGGAGACCGTGGGTGGGCCCTGGGAGGCTGCCCTTCCCCTCCCTCCTTCTCAGGTCCCCTCAGTGTCCCTGCCCAGCGGCCTCACCGCCATGCTCTGCACACAGTATCTGGTAGAAGCTGGGGTTCCCCAGACAAAATGCCTTAGGGAGTTCTGTTTAGGCAGATCAGGTCAAGCCTTACAATGTTAATATATAATAATAAGGGTATCAACTGCCCCCCCGTGAGGCTCCGCACGAGTGAGCTTGTCTACCCCTTAGACCAGGAAGCGTGAAGTGACCGCAAGGACGGGTTTTTATTAGGAATTCCACATGGCAGACTGGTCACCACGCTCGCGTGCCCTGCGCCCAGCATCCCCGTCCCCTCGCCCAGCATGCCCGTCCCCTGCGCCCAGCATCCCCGTCCCCTCGCCCAGCATCCCCGTCCCCTCGCCCAGCATCTCGGGCCCCTTGGCAACAAGGGCGAAGGCATCATGGTTCTTTCCAAGCGACCCGCCAGGCCCAGCTGCGTGAGTGCAGGAGGCTGCCTTAGCCAAGTGAGGGGCCGATCACGTGATTGGAGGGAAGCCCAGACTCTGCAGTGGGGACGCTGAGTTCCGTCCCCTGATGCCGGTCCCCACCAGCCATCCTGGAGCCCGAGCAGGGTCTCAGCCAGAGCAGCAGCCTGGGGGGTGGGGACAGCCATGGGAATGCCGGGCCCCCAACCCGTGGTCTTGGCTCTGAGGTAGGCAGACGGGAAGTGAGGGGCCCGTAGCCAGGGAGCTCCAACGTACATGGAAAAGAATATTCCTTATGGGAAGGGCCCAGCCCACTGGCTTGTGCGACCCTCCCACAGCCCTCGGAGGCCGATGGCGCAACTCTGCTCTCTCTGATGGGGAAGACCAAGGCTCAGAGCGGCCAGTGACCTGCTGGGCTCACACAGCTGAGTGGGGAGCCAGCCGGGAGCCGGGCATCTATCCCCCAGCCCACAGCCCTGAGGCTTGCAGGTGCCTGCCCACCCTGTCCATCGCCCCGAGGGGGCCTTCTCTGTGGCAGTCTCCACCCGGCCTCCCGGAGGGCTGGCGTGCTGGTGCGCGTCTGGGTGGGCAGGAGGCAAGTCACGTCTAGGCGTCCCAGTGAGCAGGGGAGCCAAAGGGGTCCCTACCCCCAGCCTTGCTTCCTCCCCTTGAGAACGCTCCCAGCCCTCGGCCCACATGCCACAGCCCCGTGGGAGACCCTGCGTCCTTCCCAGATGGCGTAGCCAGTCCCCAGCTGACTGTCCCTAATCTGTCCACAGAGGAAGCAGCTCTCCAAGGCCGGGTGGAGCCGGTGGGAAAGAACATGGAACGTGCTGGAACAAGCCACCTCATCCATCACTGTCCCTGTCTGCCTGTGGCTCCCAGCCCGCCCAGCTTGGCTGAGAACTGGCCACAGCCCAGAGCTCCCAGCCCTGGGGTTCTAGAACCTTCTTCTGCCCGCCTCCAGTCTGCAAAGCAGCCAGAAATAATAAGGTCCTGCTTTGATCATGTAGGGTCTGATCTGCTGGTACCTCTACTGACCCTTGCAAAGGCCGCGTGGGAAAGTAGGAAGGTAAGCAGGTCACCCGCGTCAGGCCCTTTGCACAGGGAGGGGTGGGCACCGACAGTGGGTCACGAAGCCCCGGTGACAAAGCCCTGACTGTGTGCTGGGCCTGTGCCAAGGCCTCCCAAGATTCAGCTCAGCTCACCCGACAACAAGCCTGCGAGGCGGGCATAGGAGGAAACCCAGACGCGAACCCAGGCCGTCTGGCCCCAGGAGCCACTCTCTCTGTGGGGATTTAGGGTGCTGGGGCCCTGCTCCGGGGTCTGCTGTCCTGGGATGGACACAACCGCA